TCGCTGGAACGATATTTAATTGTCTGCGACAAAAATTTATACAGAGAGAAAATCATCATGTATGATAATTTAATTGTCTGGACGTACAATACTATAGAGAACAAACGTGCTCCGGACGATTTTTAATTTCGTGCCTGGACAATGAGGACTTAGAAAAATTTTTCAAAGCCAGTTCCTTGATTCTTTCCATGTTGCTCGCATATAGGAGTATTAACTGTCTGATCATCCGCGTAGCTCAGGTACTGGATATCGTTCCCGGCGTTAACAACCCTTGTAGGCGAGGTTTTGCAAGTGTATGAAAGTATATTTATATGGATTTCTGCATATATGTGTAGGTGTGTAGATGTAGTAAATTGTTTTTATCACTGCGAATCTTATCTTATCATAACGATCTCGCGCTAATCTCTTCACCCGTTTATTTCAAAGAACAGAGGCTCACAAGGCCTCAACATACTCACAAGCCCGGTATCATTCGTCAAATGTACTGTACCAGTATTCTATTTTTGAAGTCTTCGTGATGTAGTTTGATTTTTCCGAAATGTTCAGTACAAAAGAAGAAATACAAATTCTTCTAAGATAAATTGTAGAGATAACTACACATTTGAACCAGTAACTCTATTGAATCATTCAATAAACCCTATAAGCCTTGCAAAAGTGTAAAACATGCCAAAATAGCAAACTAATCGCTTAACAATCTCCTCCCTTTTTGATTATGGCAAATGAAGTAATCCTATTTGTATGATCTCTAGAATTTCAAACAAATCTCACTTTACCCAAATCTCCCAACTCTGAAGTAATTAAATACATAAAAAGAGGCGCATGTCATTGATAGTCTAAAGAACAATATTTTTATTCGCTGATTTTCAAAAACAAAGGATAAAAAAACAAAAATACAAGACAATCACAGCAAGTAGCGGACATACACAGCAAAAAAATCTAATATTGCCAAACAAACATTACAAAACAGCAATAAGTATATCTCCCCTTCCTATAGCTGACAAGACAACTCAGAGACCAAAGTCATAACTTTAATAAAAAATTAAAAATTAAAAAAAAAAACCCTTTAAATCTTAATTTACATATAATTCCTTTATTGAAAATCACAATCACTATATTAGTCACTTGTGTAATTTTTAATTTGTAGATAATATAAATAGGTAGGTATATTAATAATTTGAAAAAAAAATACTCTCTTCTAAAAGGAAATAAAATCAATCTTTTTATGTTCTATTATTATTATTGTTTATTATTAATACTCATGCTAAACAATACTAAGAAAATATCAATAAAAAAATTGCTAAGCTAGATTATATATGTATTAGAACGTACTAGGCAAGACATTCGACCCAACCTAGCTAGATACATTTATGCGATACCAAATGTTATATTTAATGTTTCGTTTAGGACAACTTTTTTCTGCTTTGTTTTTAGATCTCAATTGAAATTTTTGTTTGGATAAACAATACTAAGAAAATATCAATAAAAAAATTGCTAAGCTAGATTATATATGTATTAGAACGTACTAGGCAAGACATTCGACCCAACCTAGCTAGATACATTTATGCGATACCAAATGTTATATTTAATGTTTCGTTTAGGACAACTTTTTTCTGCTTTGTTTTTAGATCTCAATTGAAATTTTTGTTTGGCCATTACTTTTTTGTTATTTAAAAAAAGTTGTATTAGGAATATGTTTTCTACAACTACTTTAAAATTTTATTTTTTCCATAACAACTTTATAAAATAGTAAGAAAGTCATCCATTCATTTGTGACAGCCTTTTTTATCGCTTTCAAAAGCAAATTTTTAGTACAAAAAATTCTAGTTTAAGAATTTTTTGTACTATAAAGCCTATTTTAAAAATAGTAAAAATATTGTCCCAGACGTGTTAGTTTTGTGTGAAATCTAATTGTGTTGATCAATCAGGGTTGTATTGTTGCCACTAATCTTAGCTCAGTTTTTTCCCTATTTCAAAAATTTTCACGCTAAATCATGGTGTTCTTTACTTTCGGCTGCATTTCTATTTTTTCGTATTTATTTCGTTGTGGTGTTTTACTTCTGTCCACAACAAAACAAAGCCTAAGTTTACTAATCTACCCAACTTGACCCGGCCCAATAGATTGATTAATAAGCTTACATTTAAGATGTTTTTATGATTATTTTCTTTATTCCTTTTGAAGCAAATTCATTTAGTTAGTTTCCTGAATCCTAAATCATGCATGAATTATTTCTCAAATATTACTTTGGAATCCTCGGTTAATCTAGCTATACCGGGCCAACCTGATCCAACAGACCGTAGAATATGATGGACTCACGGTGTTATGGCCCGTTAAATGGAATTTTTATTAGGTCCGGTGTCCTGACGTAGCTCTACATATGTACGCCAGTAAAATGGTGCCATGTGCTCTTACTCTTTACCGTGCGGCCCGATGACCCAACCCGGACCGGACCCGGGATTGCTATGTATTGGCTGATTTGTGCAGACCGGGGTATTGCTCGATATTGCTCGGCAATAACGAGAAATACAATTCTGTCAAGACCAATGCCTAGCAATATCGAGCAATACCCCGGTTTTGCTAGGTATTGCTAGGTAATGCTAGGTATTGGTTTTGATAGAGCGGTATTTCTCGTTATTGTCAAGCAATACTAGCAATACCGAGCAATACATAGCAATACATGAACATAACAATACAAGGTTCCGGTCCAGGTCGGGTCGTCAGGCCGCCCGGTAAGGAGTAAGAGCACGTTGTGACATGTTATTGACATCCGGATGTAGAGCTACATCTGATGTCCGGACCTAATAATTGTTCCGTTAAATGAGGCCTGCTGGGCCTAATATTCATTCTTCCAGCCCAAAGGGTGGATCTGTGTGTGTAGCCTTCATCGTATCAAAAAGTCAGGTACATGAAACGCTATATATCCCTCAACGTTCTGCACATGGGCTGATTAACTTCAATCTATTTTAAAAGCATTCAAATACTAAGATGTTATATGATTAAATATAATTATTTAAATTTTATAAGTAAATACGTAAGAGTTTAGTGATATTTATGAAAAAAGCCCAATTCTTTTATTGTTATGAATGACTGTGAAATTTGGATTAAAAAGTATAGTTCATTCAAAATTTTTATTGGTTTTAACTCATAATCAACGTTGATAGGTTTTCAAATCAAATTTTAGTTGACTTAGAGCTAAGTTTGCTTAAGAGGATTCAAGTGTAAGTACAATAATTATATTTAAAACATCATTAAAAATTAAATTAATCAAGTACGAATCTAGATACACATATGAATTCAAAGTTTTAGAATTAAATTCATGGCTATCCATACTCTCATTTCAATAAATTTATAGTCGCACTGATCGAGCTCGATGGTACGAATCCAACGACATTGAAAAAAATGTTTTGATCCAAGCTCAAATAGATACAAATCTAGAGTTTAAAGCATTGGAAATTTTAGAATATTAATTGAAGTACGAAGTGATCTTCAAATTTAGCATGCTTACAATCAAGTTGGGCATCTCAACGAGACAAAACCAACAAGCCCAAGATTGCTTAATTACAACAGCAATAAGATACTTAAATGCTGAATGAACACTTTATGATCCATGAATTAATAAGGTTCTCCATCATAATGTTTTAGATTTTCTCTATATTTATGGGACATGCCACTCAAAAATCTATAAATATTCATAAAACTTTCTACAAAAAAGGAGACATTGGTCTAAAGATTAAAGAAAACTCAAAACCTTGAAGAATATCAAAAATTCACTTGAGCATCATCGTTTTAAACCACTACCTAATTGTCACCATCGAACCACAATCCAACTTCGATCATTAGACCTTCGTCGATCAAACCTATTGTCAGTACTTCATCTCTTGACAGCCTCCATTGAGCTACCACCTAACTGAGCATTTACTAGTGTAAACCTATCACCATCTTCAGACTATCATTATCCCAACCACAATTGTCTAACCATCGCTACTCAATTATCATTGGAAATTAACTTGACGCCTGAGCACATCATCGAACTATCGTCGCCTGACCAATAATGTAAAGTCAGTAGCATTTGACCACAACCATCTAAATGACTTATACAAACTCTGCCATATTTTTTTGTGGATTCTCCAAACTTGTAATCTTCTAATCTCCAAGTTAAATAACTTGTAATCTTTCATAACCAACACTTATATAGTATATAATCTTTTTCAGTAGAGTAAAACCTCATAATTCTTTTCTTTTCAAAAGTTTCACGTAATAACTCTGGTGCCACTCGTATCTTTTCATTCATCTATTTATACAGACTAGATCTTTTACAAAGCTAAGACATAAAAAAAACTCTGATACTCTACAACCACAAATTTTTTAGCCAATAACAATATTAATGCATTTATACATCAATGTGATCATACATACAAATATAACTATTTATGCATGAGTGCCTATTATAGAGGTTTACTTAAGATTTAATATTAAAAAAACTAGAAAATAATCAAATTGAATAACCAAATATATGAGTCAAATCTTATTAGAATTGAAAATAAATCAAACAATCCCATAGCCAATCATATCTCATCATATAGCAAGCCCTTAAAGCTACAAATAGCCAAATGTGAATTGCAATGTAAATTATAGTGAAATTATAATTTTGTCAGCATATTTTGATTAAAATTTAAATAATAATGATTAATTTTAATTTTTTTTATTTTATTTAAAATAAATATAAATATATGACTAACAAAAGAGTCGATAGAGAGAGGGGAAATTGTATAGTTAGTTATATAACTAATAACTAAATAAAAAAATATTATTATTTTTTTATTTTTTTATTTAATTTAATATTTAATCATTACAAAAACCATGCAAATAATTAATATTCTCTAAGCTGCATGTTAATTGCAAAAATAAGTTGGGCTAGGCCGACCCCTGAATGGGCTTCTAAATATATGGGCCTTTACAAGCCTTAAATGTTCTTCCAATCAAGCCCTAACAGCAATGCGTCTCTGTTGTCAAATAGCCTGCGATTTCCGCTTCGCGCCGGTGGCGATGGAAACACAAGCAGAGGTTTTCGAGCCATTGGAGCTCCGTTACTCCGATCTCGTCCTCCTATCCTCTTCAAGGATTTCTTCTTCCTCTCATTCCTGCGAAGAGCTGGAGAGGATCGAATTCATCTCCGGCGGTGTCATGCGAGCTCTAGGGCCGACGGGTCCTGGCCTTCTCGCCATCACCGGAGTTCCGAAGGCTCCGGCTTTGCGGCGGGATCTTCTCCCACTTGCACGGAATTGGGCTCTTCTTGGTCAAAAGGATCGAGCGCAAGTGCTCAAGGTAAGCTTCTCATTTTGCATCCTTCTACGCTAGTTCGGTTGGTTCGTTTCTATGTTGTACTCTCATTTATCCCTTTCGAGATTTCCAAGTTTCTTTCTTGTTATGTCCATTTAGATGATGTTGTCTAATATTCTTGCTTTTATTGGGTGATGTTATTGCTGCTAATTTATAATTCTTCTGTTGGGATTACTAGGTATGTTGTTGTTGAAGTCCGCAGATTTGCTAAAGTTCTAGAAAATGTCTGCAGGGTATGAGATGTTTGCACCTTGATGTTTATGAAATAAAGGCCATGTTTGATTAGGAGCTAATTTTAGGGTTGTTTGGCTAAAGTAGGATTTAATTCAATAGGATTCAGTAAATCCTATCAATTTAGATTTAGTCAATCATGAGAGGATTAAAATCTAAATTTTTTGGACATGACAACAGTTAAATTTTGCTGAATTAGGATAAATTGTCCAGCATTTATTTTTGGATTTAAGATTTGTGAGAGAGAGGGAGAAATTCAATAAATCATGTGAATGACAGCTTTAACATTGCCTGAATTTAATAAAAAAAATGGGGATGAAATAAGATTTATTGAAATAGTAGGATTTAAAATTTCAAAAATCTATTTTGCAGGTTATCAACAATAAGATTTAAAAACTTCAAAAATCTATTTTTGGACTTACTTAAATCTTTCCTAAAATAACATACTAAATAACCTATTCAAACTTCATGATGATATTAAATATAATGAATACATGTGCTAATTAAGGATTAACACACTTATAAGGTTATGTAATGCAGCACATGCAATCCAAATATTATAATAGGAGACAAATCATATTTTATACTGGGCTTCTTGAAAATTTAGTATAAATTTTATTTGTTTTTATCAATTATGTTAGTTTTCAATTTCTTGTTTATGTTGGGCATATAATAATACATGACTCTTATCTATAATAGGAAATCATGACATAGGATTTGAATATTGAATTTTGAAGTAAATTAATTTCTTCTAAACTAGTCACTGGCTTCCTATCTCATTTCTTCCTGTCCACATATTCTTTACTTCTTTTCTTCCTCATATAATTCAATTCTCTTCATTGTCTTCTTCATTAGTGATATTAGGGCAAAGTTCAATCTCATGTTGATCACAAACTCCTTAAATGACCCGTTTCTCCTAGCTCTTCTCCTTTCATTTGTGATCAGCCATCCAGAACCTTCTTTTGTTCATGGCTTCATGCTCATGTTGCCCCTACGCCCACCCTTTTTTTTTCCTTGTTGAGCAGTGGACCTCATGTTTATAAAGTTGGTCCATCAATATTGATTCATTCATTTTATGCTATATGGCATAAGCTATACTAAGACAATTTTCATTAAATTATATTGTGAGTTCTTATGTCAAGTGAGATGACTGAACCATTACAAAATCTACCACAACAAATCAAATCTTGAGGCATGTTTGTGTATCATGCTTTAGTGCTTGCTTATGTTATTTATTTAGATAGGTAGGTTCAATGTGGCTTTATTTCATATGTAATTATAGGCATCGACACCCAAGACACATTTCACATGGCCATTAAAGGGATGCAGTGGCTGCGAGTCTCATATTGTTGGTTACAAATGCACTTGATTTGTTTTAATTGGCTTTTAGTTGTTCAGCATTTATAGTTCTCATTTACTATTTCCTTGCATTAACAACAATTTGCTTATGTAGCCTTTTGTGTGTTAGCTTATCCTTGAATATTGAGATGAAGCCTAACCACCTTTGTATTACCCTTATGCTCCGATCTGATCGAAATTGTGGGTTTTCTGAAGTGAATGGTCATGAGCTCTAATAAGTGGGTTGTAAAACTTGTTGAAGTAGCCTAAAGGTTTCCTAATGTGATAGGAGTTTGTCTCATGGGTTTTCTATTTGATAAAAAAATTATTCTTATTATTTTGTACACGGGGGGATACAACAATTATTTTATTTTTTGAGTTAAAATGACATCCTTTATGACTTAATCAAAAGTACATATCCATAACATAAAATAACACATGATATAGCGCATAGCCTATAGTCCTATGTATTACTTTATGGAGAAAGATGATCAATTTGAAAATAGAAATTTCTTATGCAAATACTCTTCTCCCCCCTCTTCCCCTCCCTCACTTTCTCCTACCTTCCTCCTTGGCTAGTTAACCTAGTTCCCCGTCTCATCCAATCTCTTCCTCCACCACCACTTCCTTTCCTCCTTTTCTCTTCTTTATTTACTTATTTACTATGGCCTCTTTAATCTTCTACATCTTCTTCTCTTAAGCCGTGGAAGTGGAATAGATAAAATGAAGATGTTGAGTGATAGTTCATCTTGTTCTACATTTAGGTGTGGTTGAATGATTTTTCCTCTTTGAGTTGAGCCATACTTAGATCATTCAGTATCAAGAATAGATAAATTGAAGAAGATGGAAGATGGACAAATTAGTATAGCCTCTCATTTGACGTTATTATATTGTGCATCAGACTATTTCACGGTGAGACGCTCTCACCCACCCAAGCACCAACCTCCCTATTATTTGCTTTGAATTCACTAGCTCTTTAATTTGTTTTGCATTAGAGTTTGTTGAAATTGTTACAATTGAACCTGAATATCTAAATCTAATCAAATTTAGCTAATATTCCTACAAACTTTTATGAGCATCATGTTGATTGCTTACACTTTGCTCAATCAATTTTAGCATACATATTTATTTGCAAATATATATATTGTTAAGTCGTTGCATGCCCATATAGTTTTAAAACATCATTTTTAGTATCCTTAATGTAGCCTCTCGAAAAGTATATGAAATTTTAAGAACCTAAGGAATAGGCTTCCTGATGTGAAACTCTCATCATTATGGAAGTAGGAAAATCATGGCCCATTTCCCAAAATAATATATATTTTTTAATAATAGGTCTCTTGAAACCCTAAATGAAGCCGAATATTTATCTCTTAATGCTACATCTCTCTTGATTTTGAGAAAATAGAGTTAATTATTTTACTCATTGAACATGAGAAAAATTAGTTCTAAAGTTGTGATCCAACCTCATAATGGTTCGTTGAAAGAAAAAAACCGAAGATAATGAAATAAGCCATAAGAGAAGCTTGAGCACAACCTATGAAGTCGATCAACACATAATTGTAAAAGCACAATCCTCTAAACGCACTATGAATTGACCCTATTAGGTATTGGTTTTTATTTACCTTTGTAAGTATTGGTTTGATGGGGAAATATAGAGAGAATAAGGAGGATCTACATATGATATTTATTGATTTAGAAAAAAACATATGATAAAGTTCCAAGAGAAGTGCTCTGGAGAATTCTAGAAAAGAAAAGAGTTAATAATGCTTATATTCAAGTTATTAAAGATATGTATCTTGAAGTTGTTACCTGTGTTTAAACACAAGGTGGTTTAACTAAGTATTTTCCCATTTTAGTTGGATTACATTCAAGTTGGATTGTTGAAGTGGAGAAATGCAGCGGACCCGTTGTGTGATAGAAAAGTATCCCTCAAATTTAAGGGAAAATTCTATAATATGGTGGTAAGACCTAAAATGCTTTAAGCAGTAGAATGTTGGCTATTAAAAGAGAAGCATAGAATTAAGTTAAGTATTGTAGAGATGAGGATTCTCAGGTGGATGAGTGGCTTTACTCTTAGAGACAGAATGCGAAATAAACATGTGTAAATAGGTTGGAGTAGCTCTAATGGTTGATAAGATCAGAGAGAGTCGCCTTTGATGGTTTGGTTATATAAAATTGTGGCCTTCCGATGACTCGATTAGGCGTGTAGATATATTAGATCTGACCTATGTTAAGAAACAAATTAATGGACCTAAAAGAATTTGGTTAAAAAGTATTAAAAATGTCATTTTTTATTAGATTTTAATGAGAATTTGACTTCTAATCAAACACAATGGAGAAAAAAGATTCATGACTTTTTGATCTCACATAGTAGCACGTAATGGTATAAAGGCTTGCTATTGTTGTTATTGTTTAACTATGAGCTCATTCCCCACCATGGCCCCTCATTAAGCGAATCAAAATTAAAATGATAATGCATTTAAGATATGATCTAATTCTTGCCCTCCTTTAAATATAATTAAACTCTAATCATACAGCATAATATTTACTTATATGATATTGGGAAGTTTTATTTTGTGATTTTTGTTGAATGAAAATAATATTTCCTTCTACAAATCAAAACTTTCTTTCTGGCTTCTTGAAAGCTCTAAAAGCTGATGTTTGACTTTCTCAATGAAGAACCGTTTCAACTTGTCTTCATTTATCTTTTGAAAAATCGAAGGCATAATTCTGCAACAACTCTAAGCAGGCTAATGCATGCTTCTTGAGTATAGCCAACTTGGTCTTTGAAAGCTTCGAAGTCCCATGAATCTAACATAATCAAATTCTGATGCTTTAATATAAACGAGCCCTGAAGAACATTCGATTCATATTATTTGATTACATAGTTATAGCTGGCAGTAGCCATGAAAATTTAGCCATTTACTGAATACCTGCTAAAAGGATAAAATGAATAATGGTGGCTTTTGGTATACCAAAGGCCTAATATAGTTGGCTGCCAAAGCCACTACAAATGCTTCATTTCTTTAATTGAAAATTTATGTTATTGACTCGCAAATGTATAGTTTAGAAATATTCATATAATGTAGTTTGTAATCTTCCAATAACTCTTGAAGATCTTTTTTACCTTTCTCCATGAATAGCCAGAGGTCTGAGGTTCTCCGGTGCAGTGTGCGGTATCACTGATATCTGGGGCTAAATGAATGCCTATTTCAAAACTATCATATTAAACTTACAATATTTGCTATCATAGCCTCGTATCCATTATTGGACATAGATCTCTAAATTAAACCATTAGGTGTCTTTTCTTCCACTTTTTCATATTTCTGCTAATTTATTCCTTATGCAACTAATGTATGATTAATGCAACCTAAGTTTCTAAATATTTTATGGAGAACGTTTAGGAAAGCAATTACAAAATTCTTTCTTTTTAATAAAGCATAAACATCCACATGTTAAAAAACTAAAAGTACAAATAAGTTTTAGAAAGTAGCTTACGAAATCTATAGGGAAGAACACGTAGGAAAATGTAAATAAGGCTACCCTCAGAACAACCAACAAGTGGTCATCTTACATGCAACAACAACAACAACAACAACAATATCAAGCCTTTATCCCACTACGTGGGGTCGGCTACATGAATCATTTTTCTCCATTGTGTCGGCTACGTGGGGTCATCTTACATGCAAAGTTCGAAAAAATTAGGATAGGTGCTCAAATGAAAGATCTAACCCGGATTCCACCACTGAAATGATCCGGCACAAGTTCACCCTCCTCCAGCAAATACCAACCAAAACATGACAGCAAACACCACTAAGCTCATAAGAGAATAATGATATAGATGGGGCGGGTACCGTGAAAAGAGAAGAAGAGGTAGAAAACCGAGATGAAGTAGTAGAGGGAAAGAGGAAATTAGGCTAGTTCTCAAGCTAGAAGAACCCGCGGATTTGTATGCAAACACTTCACTAAAAAACTCTCTAAACCGCAAGAAAATAACCCCTCTTTATAGGAAAAAAGCGATTAATGCCGGAAATTAAAGCACCTCTCATCCAGCCACTAGGAACACATCAAAACTGCAGCTACCAAGGGGAAACTGAAGTATCAACACAGCATCCAATGAACACAGAAATCAAAAGGACAGCTGCCAAGGGGGAATAACGAGGAAAAAAGGCCCAAGAGGAATCTACCCAGCAGCCAATCAAGGTAAAACCCAAAGAAACAAAGTGAAGGAAAGAGATAGGCGATCCTAAGAGCACCAACCTAGCATGATCACTAGTTGTCTTCCATCATAGGGTAATCAAAATGAAAATCACAATACATAATTAACCAAAAGTCATACAAATTACATAAATATTTGACTACATCAATGATGCAATAAAACCGTCAAAATCTGCCGGCACTATGACTGGTTCCTTGTAGAAAATTCCATTTTCTTGTCTTGATATGTTTAGTGCTTTTGGAAATAATGATCATGTAATTTCCAGGATATTGGTTTGGGCAGTGATGTATCCATGAGGAATCTTGATAGAGCTGTCTCATCATTTGCAATGCAGTTGAAATATGAGCAATTTTCGGACTTAGAGTCAGTATCACCACTCTTTAACAATGGACAGAAAGATATTGAGGACATGCAGAAAAGGAGAACTGTTGATGATTGGCAGGGGTTTCTTGGTCATGAACAACAATTGATTGGCAACATATTCAGAGAACTAGGCTTATGCATGATGGAACTAGGGTTTCAGTTGGCACGGGTATGTGATAACTTGATTGGTGGTAAAGAGTTAGGGCAAAGTATATTAGATGCTGGTACTGCAAAAGGGCGCCTCATTCACTATCATTCTGTACTGGATAACCTCCTCCTAAAAGAAGAGAACAAGAGAACCAAAGGGTCAATATCAAAGGCAAGATCAACTACCTCAACTGTTATTAATTTATCAAATACCTTAAGCCTTACAAATTTGCATTTTTCAACGTCATCAGATAATAAAGTTCTTCCCAATTTTATAAAAAGCGAGGATGAGCAATTCTTGTGCAGCAAAATAAGCACTACTGGAGTGAGTTGTCGCAGGAAATATTTCTCAAATCTGTGGCAACAATGGCACTATGACTATGGAATTTTCACTGTCCTGACTTCTCCTTTATTCCTGTCATCTTGCGGGCTGGATGATTCTTTTTGCTTCAAAGATTGTTCTTCTCCAGATGATCATACATACTTGCAATTATATGACTCTAATAATGATAGGGTTCTACTGGTGAAAGCTTCACCTGAGAGCTTCATTATTCAAGTAGGGGAATCAGCTGATATCCTATCAAATGGAAAGCTTCGATCAACACTTCATTCAGTTGGCAGACCTTCAGAGATTGAAAGCCTAAGTAGAGAGACCTTTGTTGTGTTCCTGCAACCGCCTTGGAATAAAGTGCTTCCTATTCCTAGCTATCTCATGGATGCCGAAGTGAAAGATGAGGAGTATTTGCCAAGCAATGATGCTTGCCTAGTTGGTCACATGGTTGGATCTGGAGACTCAAACCATATAGTTCAAGAAATCTTCAGAAGTATCCCACCTTTGTCCTCTCGATTGAGACCTGGGATGACATTTGCAGAATTTTCACGTGAGACTACAAAACAATACTATGGTGGAGGTGGTACACAGTCTGGGAGGCAATAATCCTAGGCCTTTTAGGACTTAGTATGCGCTTACTCTTTATTCAAAGAATATGATTGATTCTAAAAGGACATTCAGGCTTCGTTTAGGACAATTTTTTTACTGCTTCTTAAGCCTGCTTCTCAGTATAAAATTTTAAACTTTTGTACTAAAAATTTATTTTAAGAACCAATAAGAAAACCATCCCAAACGAAACCTCAGTCAGAATTACATGAACATCTTAAACACTCTCCATTCATTTAGGTCTTGAAGAAGCAAACATAGACGTGCATATATGACTGCATGATCAAAAGCTATAAACTATATTTATACTAAGGAGCTTAATGTTTATTTCTTTGTAGATTGAAAATCAACATATCGGTTTCGGAAATGTCTTCTGGAGGAGAGATTATTCTGTGCAGACATCGGACGGGAGAACCGTCCGGTACCGCTTGGTACCGAGCGCGATATACTTTTGAGGCAATTTGGCGTATTTTTATTGGTCTCTGGACAACATAAAAACTCCGCACATAATAGTTTGTCCTTTTGAAATAAGGACTACGATGTATCTTTTGCAGTTATTGCTGTTACGCTTGTCAGAAGATATTATTTGTGAGAGATGAATGATGTCAGTAATTATTCCCGTGGACCTGCAACAATAAAGGATGAATCATTCAGTCAAAGCTTCCCTTTGGAAAAGACAAACGCCATGGCTACACGCCATGTACTTATTCTTACCTCATACCCGACTAGAGATCTGCAGTAGTTTGAATTTGTGAGTACAGTACTTGTTGAACCACATTCACTTTCTTTGAGAGACATGTTGGACTTATCAAACTTGATTGACCATGGATATTGGTAACTATTGGCTGTCAAACCAACATGAGAAGAGGATCTTTGCATCCTAATTCCCCTTGGAATATTTCTACCCTCCACCGACGGTCTCTTCCTGCTTGATTGCCTCTCATAAGTATCAATTCTTGGCCTTGGTGCACTTTGTGACCGTACCTTAGCTCTGAAGGATTCTGTGTTAGCCATGTAATTGGGATAGTCAAAAAAGTTGTGTGTGGGCATGGACATGGCGGATAGGTGTGGACTGCTTTGTGCTGTGGCAAAGGAGAACTCCTCAAAGTGGCCACTGTATGCTCGGGGGCTCATGGGATTCATCTCAGTTAAGGTTGATGGGGCAGGTGAGAACTGTGGTGGGAGATCGGCCTTGCTAGGTCTGCAGGTAGCTTTATTGTATATAGAAAATATCTGGTCAATGCTCTCAGTTTGTCCTATGGAATAACTGCTTCTGCCCTTTGAAGTGCTTCTGGTCTCCCCAAGATCCATCTCTACAATTTTGACATTCTCGTCTTCGTTCCTATTCATTTCCTGGACCATGAAGCATTTGTTTTAAGAAATAGAAAATTGAATTAGAGAGACAACTGCACTTTAAGTGCTGCTTAGGAAGTTTTAAGAAATAGAAAATTGAATTAGAGAGACAACTGCACTTTAAGTGCTGCCTAGGAAATTACTTTAGCATGGCAGGGGCACTCAAATCTACATCCTTAGTGCTTAAAGGGACAAATTCCTCATAGAAATTTCATGCGCAACTTTCCTCCCATTGAGGAATTCAACAGTTATTTTGTGGGGATTTTCTGTAAAAGCTAAAGATAAATCCTTTTTGGTATTAGGATTTTTGCATTTTCAGGAATTCTGATGTAAATAGTCTATTTTTTCATAAGGATTTGTTCTAGTAAACACACAAATTTCACAAGAGATCCCCCCATAAAATTTCTTTAAGAAATTCCTTAGGAATTCTGTTCTACCTGAGGTATAAGAAAAACAATACTATCAGAAATTTACTTACAAATGACTTTCTGAAACGGGAATGCTGTGGCGATCTCCTGTAATTCTGCTGCCTTTGTGATATAGTAGCTTGTGACTCTTCGATCATCCCTATTCTTTTTGCCCGAGCCCGAGCTTGCGCATTAGCAAGTGCTTGCATGCATCTGAGGGTTGCAGTAGCCTGTTTTCTGACCAAATGCCCTCTCACCAATGCTTGCAATTTTACCAATCCTTTCAATGCACATAATGCTTTCCTTGCCTGCAGGAGACAAGTTACGTTTATATAATGCTTCTTCAGAAACTATTATATGAAGTTTCATGGACAGGAGAAGGTGAGTACCAGATATGATCGGAAGACAGATTGTATTCTGACAGCAGCAGCTTCCTCAAAGGCGGCCCTTGTTTTTCTACCATTTGCCACAGCAGTGAGACGCACTACTGCTGCCGCAGCATGTGCTGCAGCCACCGCAGCATCGGCTGCTGCTGCAGTGGCCACAGCTACAACCATGGCTTGTCTCTTCTGATCAATCTCTGAATCAAATAACTCACGGCAAGGGACACTTATTCTTGGCTCTGCCGAATTCAAATCCTTTGCAGCTCCCGCCGATCTCCGGAAGCTCCACCTCCTCTTCTCCTTAGTTGCTGGAACTGCTACAGAAGCTGATCTGTTTTCTGCAGTCAATCCCATCGTCAAATTCCCACCCTTCACCTTCTCCTTCTCCTTCTTGCCTATCAACAAGCCCCGGAGCCATTTGCTTGCCTTTCCCATAACTCCTCCAAGGCTAGCTGCAGGTAAAGCAGCTCATGAAGGTACTCTCTCTCTCTCTCTCTCTCTCTCTGTGGTTACAATTCCATTGTTGACCAATTTATATGTGCTCTGTGACATCCCCCTTGGATGATCTGTGAACCTGATTGTTTATAGGAAGTGGAATTGTTCTGTGGAAAGCATGGAACAGCAGAAGGAACCAATAGCTTATCCCTGTTGAGCAACTGTTGGTTTTCACTAATTAATGCCAGCCTGGTTTCTGTATTTAAGTGAGGGATCAGATCAGTTATTAGGGGAAGATCAATTATGCTAAGGGAGCATTAATTTTAAAGTCGTATAAGTGGGCCAAGGGCCATGTGGCTGAAAGTAGCATTGAACGTGGATTTATCTGTGAGAAATAGTCCAATGCCTGCGAGCAAAATTAGTTGGCTCCATCTTTTTGCGTAGCAGAGGACCATCTATTCTTACCAGCAGAACCAGCTTTTTCTCTATCTTTGATCTGCTGCCGACGTCCTGATTATCCAAGTAGGTGATCAAAAAAAAAAAATTTCTTGTTTCTTAGTGTTTTTTTATCTGCGTATCACTTTACTATTTTGTTCTTATAAAGATTTCGGCTTCGGTTGAGGGCAGCTTTCTTAATGCTTCTTAAAATAACTTTTTGATATAAAAATTTAAATTTTAATGTTAGAAAGATGCTTTAAGAAACGGTAAAAAAGACCCAAACGAAGCCTTCATCTTGCTTCGGTGTTTATTCTGAGGAATATTTACTGAAATTCATCTAAAGAAAATAATGGGGCACTGTCCAATCAAATACTTATAGATCAGACCTGATCTGATAAGTACGCATACAGCATACGATTGGGACGGGTGGATCAATTTAAGTTTTCTGGTTGCTTTAAGGTTTTATTTGGGGTGACTTTCTTACTGTTTTTTAAAATAGTTTTGTAGTACAAAAATTAAATTTTTTTACTAAAAAATTATTGTAAAAAACAATAAAAAAACTGTCTCAAATGAAACCCAAGCCCCTTTTTTGAAAAAAAAAAAAGATTGATCAGAAATTGCTGATATAATTTTAATTAATTATATTGTGTTTTTTTTATTATACTTAAATGATAGAAAATTATGTGATTTTAATTTATTTATAAATTAAAATTTATAAAAATACTTACTGATAATTATATTATAAAAAAATAAAATGTTAGATATTTCTATTATAACTAATAGAAAAAATGTTTGAGTAAATTTTAGATTTTTTTTTATTTTTTTTTTTAAGTTTGATGGTACGTTACAATTAATGAGTAGATGGAGAGCTAGAGCTGGTAATCATTAAAGCGTTGTAGGTGCTTTTCACTTCTTTATATTAAAATTTTAATTATATATAATATGTTGTTTAATTTTTAAATTCTCTCACAATTATTTTTATCTCATCTAAATTTAGCATAAGCCTTTCTCATCTTAAACTATAATTCTGCCACCGCCTGACTTCAGAGTTTTATTAATGTTTCATTGATTAATATTATTGTATTTTTGATCTGTAGAAATAATTGATTAGCACATTTTTTGTGTTTGGGAGGAGAGAAATAGCTGGCAAGTCATGTGGATTTCTTATATAATCTACTTCTTCTTCATAAGGCCATGTGCTAGCTAGATAAGAAGAGATGGGGAAGACTATGAATGCTTTGCTTGCCCTAGGTTTGTAGTTGAAGTAGGGGTATGAGTGAGTCGAGCTGGTTTGTGAATAGACTTTAGCTCAGCTCGTTGATGGTTTGCAAGTCGAGCTTATAGAGCTTCGGGCTCGAGTTCAAGCTTATAATCAAGTTTGTATATTATACAATCTTGAGTTTGAGTTAAATGAAGTTTCGCTGTTCATCGAGCTACTCGATTAATATCAAAACTTTGTAGTTTATACCTCTAAAAATCTTGTGGTGATCCATCTACTCATCTCCCATAACCATCTTCCCCATTAGCCTTTAGGAAAGAAAAAAAAAAAAAAAGCTAATAATCTTGATTTTCTCCTACGAGTTCTCATAGCTTTCTTCTTCATTAAGCTCTGGTCGTTGAGCTCACGAGTTAAGTTCAAGCCCGTCATTTTTCTAGTGAATCAAGCTCGATTTTGTTTTATGAGCTTGATATTGAGACAACGAGTCAAGTTTGAGTTTGAGCTAGCTCTAACTCCTGTTAGGTTCAACTCGTTTTTTCCTAATCCAAAGTAATATGATCTTCATGTACTCTATTCATGTACTCTATTTAAAAGCCAATATGTTTTATATGGTTTAATAATATTTGAGTTTGATCAAACGGTCAGCTTTTTTTAATGATTCTATCATTCAAGGAAAGGCATAATGATATTCTACTTCATTTGCGTGTGATTATAATTTTAAATAATTTCATATTATTACATAAAGAAAGATTTGAATCATTCCACATTTTATAGCTCCTATAATGTTTATAATTGAAAATCATCAAATCAATATTTTTTTTGGGACATTGAGGTTAATTAAGACAGGCTCATGAGAAATTATTTTGTGCGGAGACCGGACATAGAACATAATCCGGAGACCAATCAGAATGCGTCATGTCAACGGTACCGAGCATTACCAAGCCGTTGTACCGAGCGAAGGGGTGATGTGGTGCATTATAGTTGATCTCCGAATGGCGTTCAGTGGCCACATATAATAATTTTTCGATTCACACACGCTTCGCATACACAAGACTTGAATCTAAGACCTGATAGTTGATAGCCTAAGCTCTCAACCAACCGACTAAGATGAGTTATAAAGAATTATGATTGCTCTACAGACTACAGAATAATTCCCTTCTCACTTTATAATATTATTATTACAAGCAGCCTGTATGTATGCTACATTCTAGACTCCTATTTTTTAACTACTCTGATATGAAATGAATGATTTGATCATTCATCGCACATGCATGTCAGTGGTACATGATCGAAGACTCTTTATATATTCTTTAGCTAAAGCAATTGGTTTAATTTTGGTTTCTGACATGGGGCTTAAAGATTTGATGAATTCTCTTTTCAGTTTTTTTTTTTTTATTAAAAGCTGCTTTAACGGATAAGATTCCAATCGATTTCTGTCTCCAACTAATCATATACTCATAGCTGTGAATTTCTTTCACTTCCTTATTTCCTCAATATTATCACGTGCGGTCATCAGACAGTTCAGAAGTGAATCAGAATATGTCACATCATCCAGTATACAACAGTATATAGCATTGTTACACAGCAAAAAAGTAATGTGGTGCGTCCTAATTTGCCTCTGGATGTATAAAGAAAAAGATGAGCATCAATCATCTAGGTCTGGAGAATAGGTTATTTCATGAGGCAAACATGTTAAAAGGAATAAGTAGGAGCAAGCCGGTTGTTGAATGGGCTTGGACTCTGTTCGATAAATGACTTATGATCACAGCTCTATAAGTCAAGTTTGTGCCAACCTTAACTAAATTCACTAGCTCGCGAGCTGACTCGTTTAGAAATTAATATAAATTATATTTAAAATATATTAGTATTCGGAGTTTTAAATACAAAGTTAATAAAAATATTTCTTTTATAATAAGTTATTTTTTATTTCTCAATTTTATTTTATTATAATTATTATTTGAATAATAATTATTTCTATCTTTCATAATAAACAAGTTAGCTCGTGAGTCGGTTCAAACTCATAGAATAAATCTCGAGCTCAAACTCGGATAATTAATCAATTTCAAGCTCAAATCAGACGTGACTCAAGCTTTTACTCAACTCGTTTACACCCCCAATCCGGTTTGGGGGATCTTATTGTTGTTGTGAATATCCTACTTGGATGGATGAGTATTGGAACTATGGAGAAAGCTTTTGAATCTATTAGCTGTAAAGTTCTTTTTGAGTATATGAGACTTTTAGATGAGGTTGTCGCCATTGGAGAATTGAATAGGCATTAATTGTTTAATGTTGAAGATGAGGAATATGGAGAAGGGGGGATGATGATGGTGGCGGCCATTGTCACTCACATCAATGTGGAATTTGGTTGTTTCATCTGTTAGTATGGAGGCCTATAATATATTTATTATTAAGCAATTATACACTGATATTTCTTTATGAACAATAAAAGTGCAGTTCTTTGTTGTGTTTTTACTGTTTACAGAGATAAAACCAAACGGGAAAAGTCATCCGGTGTCCTCACAGTATAATCTCTCATAATGAGGAATTTTTATTGCGTCCTCCCACCTGACGTAGAGATACGTCCTCCCACCATCAAAAAACTGGTTTTGCTCGGTTGCTAGGTATTATTTGTAATAACGGGAATATCATCATGAGGTAAGACCAATACCGAGTTACTACGAGCTATACGAGCAATCCGAGCAATACAAAAAACTACTAGTTTTTCCTAGAGAAGAATCGGTATGTTGGTCTTCACATGATGATATTCCTCGTTATTGTTGGTATGCTCGGTAAATTTGGCTCCGGTATTCTCATTTTTTAAGCGAGAGATTTGCTCTGGGAGGACGTATCTCTACGTGCAGGTGAGGAGGACGCAATAAAAATCCCTAATGAGGGCCTAAGTCGGATCTAAACTTTTCCTAGTTGAGATACAATATTAAATATTTAAGCATTATTTCTGGATTTTCTTTTATTTGCTCTTGTAGGACAGCATTGAGTTTAAAAAAAATTATCTAATTTTTTTTAAAATTTAAAATATTCAGAGAATATGATGATAAAATAAAGCTTCAATTTATAGATATAACTGTTCATTTAAATAATTACTTTATTATCAATATATTAAAGAAATATCAAAATATGTCATTCACTTCTCTCTAATTTTATTTTCGTGGGGTAAAACTCTTAACTTATATTATATTGATTATCTTAAAAAATTCTAAAAATTTTTAAATTTAATTATGATAATTTTTTATTATACTATTTAAAAGTAACTTATTTTAATGAAAAGTCAGAGTTATAAAAGAATAATAAAAAATTAGATAATTATTGATTATTATTTTAATAAAATAATATAATAATATAAAAATAAAATAAAAAGAATAAGAAATTTTTTTAGGTCCCCTCCCTTAACTCCTCCCATGAATGTGGCCTATTCATTTTTTTTTCTCTTCTTCAATTAACAATAAAATTCTCTTGAATCTTAAGCTACTATGGTTTTTTTTTTTATTACTATTTTTTTTAAGCTACTATGGTTCTTGCTTATAGTTTGTTTCAAAACTCTTTTTGTTTATTTTTTTGGCATATTTCAATTAATAATATCCACTATTTGGAACTATTTATATTACTAACTTCGCCATGTTTCTCTTTTGAAAGGCTTAATAAGAAAAGTTAATGAGTTCATTAACAATGTTCTTCATGGCAATGGTGCTAACAACACAATTCATCCGGTTTTTTGAAGACCACTTGTATGCCTTGGGAAAATGGTGGTTTGGGACTCCCCTCCTTCGATACTCCAGAACACTAAGGCTTCGTTTAGGACGCCTTTCTTAATATTTCTTAAAGCAGCTTTCTAAAATTTTGTTACTAGAAAGCTGCTTTAAGAAGTAAGAAAGTCATCCCAAACGAATCCTAAATCTCCACTTTACTCTGGGTGCTCTAATGCCTATGATTATTCACAAATTATTTTAGCATTTAAATTACATCAAATTATATACATTAAAAAGCATATTTTATTTTAAATAAATTAATATTTGTGATATTATATATATATATATATACAATCAAGCTATTAGCAAGTAAAAAAATGGTTGAATAAAATTTTATTTGTGTTTGACTCTTTAAATAAATGAGCTTATAAAAATTAGTTTAACTTGCGATGATCGAACACAAACAGTGAGCTTTCTTTATAGCACTATCCATGGAGCAAGAGAGAGATTAAGATTTGGACTAATTTGTTTTTTTTTTTAAAGTAATTTTGTGAAATATAAATATACTTTATATGAAAATCGAATTTATTTAGAAAAATATTTCTTATAAGTGGATGTTTTTATAATTTAATGAATATTATAACAACAAAAAATTATTGATGAATTAAGAATTTTGACAATGAAAAATGCTTAGATTAGAAATTTCGATAATTAATTTCATGATGTTCTGCACTTTATTTTCAATACATTTATGGCTGAGATAGTGTGATTTATTAAAGAGATTAATTTAAAAATATAAAAAATTCCTTATTCTGAGTCTAAATGGGTTTAAATTTTGAAGCAAAAAAATAATCGAAAACTTGATCTTTCAATCTTAAGTTTAACTAAAAACACTTTATAGACTGTTTGGGTTGAAGTGGTTGTAAAATATTTCAAATACATGTATTTTGAGAAGATTTGTGTTTTGTTGTATTAAAAATAAATGAGGTTCAAAATTCTAGTGAATTTTCTTTTCACCCCGTACTTCATATTTGATGACTTGTAAACTCAATCAGTTTAGATCAAATCCCTTTTTCACCAAGCTTCCTTCTCATTGTCGGACACAGTCGCCTGCCAACCCACATCCTTAACCTCAAGCCAATGACTGTCATCACCAGCATCCACTATCACTAACACCAGCTCCTGTTGTTATTGACCCATTGGTCATCGCCACCAACCTCTGCTGGAGGCCACCAACACAAGTTAGCCACTAGCCACAACCACCCTTTGGTTCAGAGAGATTATTAGGTGCGGAGTGCGGACGGAGAGAACCGTCCGCACAAGCACAATACCCAGCTAGGTACCGGCACTCGGTACCGCTAGGTACCAGTGCTTGTGCGGACGGTACACACCCCGCACCTAATAATTTTTCTTTGATTCAACCCTCTGCTGTCAACAGCTGTGACCTCCTCCCAATGTCAGTTACCAATGCTATTGACTGCTATCATTAACCACCACCACTATCACCCTCCAATTGGCATTATATTCGGACTTTACATTGTATTTATTTGACTTAAAAAAATTATGTAAGTTTATTTTACACTTATATAAATACTCTAAAATATTTCAAATATATTACTTTAACATTATATTCTTTTGTTTCATTCAAACAAAGTAGCCACTTAGTGAAATTTAACTCAACTAAACTTAAAACTTTCAATTTTAAATTTTAGTCAAATCAATCAATCTCATTTCATAATAAAAAAAAATTATAATAGAATATTATGATATTAAATATATCATAATAATGTTAGAAAATTTTAAATTTATGCTAATCTCTTCATAAATCTAAATACGTATTTGAAGACTACCTGATATCCAACACTATTTATTTCGCTTTCATATCATCCATACTGAACTTTCAAGTACTCCACGAATTATAAAAACTTGACGAAGAAAACGAGACGTTGCATTAATTAAGCATTAATTCGGTCTTCTCGCGAATCGGTGATCTTACCGCATTCAACTTCGCTTTTATTTATGTTTCAAGATCCATTCCAGATTCCGCTTCGCCTGCCAACTACCCGCGAGCTTTAAAGCAGCAATACAAATAGCATACGGGAGAAATTATTTTGGCGGGCGACCGATCAAAATAAAGCAACACCTCCTAAAAATAACTTGGCAATTAAATAATTAATTGATTTTTTTTGGTCTTTTTCCATTCTATTTATAATCTTTATTATTGGAGACGATGAACTGAAAATTAGTAAAAATATCAAGAGTTGATTGAGACCATTTTCTTAATTTATTATTTATAAAATATCAATATTTTTTTATTTTGTTTAAATTTTGCTTTAAAATGAATACATACTAAGAGTATATTTTTATTGATGATCATCGATTCAGCAAGATAATGATGATGGTGACGATCGTGGTCGTTAGTAATAATAGCTCAACATTCACCTCCTGACAGAGCAGGCGAGCCATACACAATATAGCTCAAAGGACAACCATTAAACCATAACAAACTCACTAAATCATAGCTTTACACATGTACACACTTACATCTATATATGCATTTAGCTGCTACAGTAAACTGCATGTACATGTTTCTTTCACTATAATGAAAATTGCTTTTTTTACTTCTTTGTGCTCTTTGTATGTATGCATTAGCTTAGTACAACTCCGCTTATATGGTACCAGAGCTCTATTGGCGCACATCCTGATGAATCCTTAAAATCACAACTTCATTTTCTTCTCACACGAAAGATGCATCCACAAAACCTACCCAATAAGACATCATCATCCCCTCCTACCTAAAGTTCATAATCTCTAACATTAAAACTATTTACCCTATATAGTTGTCTAACGACAACTACACATGAAGATCCCAAATCCTCAAGCTGTTTAGAACAAACAGCTACGTTTGTTTTCTCGATAAAACCGTATAACCTCCTTCCCGTCTTCTCCTTGACACAAATGACATATCCCAGCCAAATGCAGCCTACAATCGTTGGACACTCGTCGACCAGAATCTTGCCGCAACTATATGCTCCAACATAACTGTAGGAATTCTTCCCTATGTTCTCCATCTGGACACCTGCATCATTATATAGAGTACACTCGAGCACAAACATCAAGCTACAAACAAGTCTAGAGTGATACAGCTCAAGAATAACTACATCATATCTCCAAAAGTACCAAATAAAGTTTATTTGGAAGCTTCAAAATATTAATTGGACGACTAAATGATATTCAAAAGAGACATGCTTATAGTCGAATCGAGCGACTCGACGAGAAGAATCCAATGAGTCAAAGATCGTCAAATTCTAACATCATTAAGAAACTTAAATACTTAAAAAATTATCTATAATCAAGGCAATAAATATTGGCTTTCCATTCGAAACACTTCCAATATTTCATTGATCTTCTCCTTATTTACTAGCTATGTCAGTCTCAAAAACTATAAATAGTCCCCTTATTCTTCACAAAGGGGAGGAGGAAGAGATGAAAGATAAAGGATCTTTTTTGCTTTCTCAAGCTTACACTGCCCGACCGCCTACCGTAGCTGGACTTCCGCCTGGATATCGACCGCCGCCAAACTTCCACCTAGTTGTCGACCATCGTCGGACTTCCTTCCAACCATTGTCGCTTGCCGACCATGTTACCCGCCAACTATGATCCTTCATAAGAATGTCTACAAACTACAATCTTTCCAAATCGCCCGACTATAATCCTTCAGACCACCATCGTCCGAATACGATCCTTCTGACCATCGTCGCTCAATTATGATATTCCTTCTAACTATCGTCACCCAAATATGATTTTTCCGACCACCATTGTCCGACTACGGTCCTGCCGACCACCATCGCCCTATTATGATCTTTCGGACCATCATCGCTCGACTATAGTCCTTCCGTCCACCGTTGCCCGACTACGATCTTTTTTACCACCATCACCCGACTACGATCCTTCCTAACACTGTCGCCCGCTGACTACAGTTTTTAGGACCACTCGTCCGACTAAGGTATTTTTCGACCACCATTGCTCAACTACGATCCTTCCAACGACCATCGCCCAACTACGGTCCTTTCGAACACCATCGCCATCGACTACGGTCCTTCCGACTATCGCCGCTCGCCAACAACAATCCTTCCTAGCAATATTGCCCGCCGACCATTTCGCTTGCCGACTACGATCCTTCATACTATCGTCGCATGTCGACTATGGTCCTTTCATCCACCGTCGCTCGCCGACAACAATCCTACTAACCAAACAAACATGCAAACACTATCTTAAGAACAAATGTCATGTTATTCTCTAACTATGTACTATGCTATATACAATGTGTACATCAAGCCAAGGTCTTCTCCAAGAAAGAGTCTCATTTGTACTCAACAACAAATATTAGTGGATTCATTCAAACTTGGGGTAGACCCAATGATTTTTCTCTTTTTAAGGGCTTTGCGCGTATAAATCTTAGTCTCTTATGAATATTGCACTTTACTCTTATATATATGTGTACTGAATCTTCATACAAAATTAAAAATATAAATTTTATATTTCTCTACCGCCGCAAATATTTCAGCATGCTACAATACTTTTAAATTAAAATTTCAATTTCTGCCTCATATTTTTTTTGTTTGAATAATATTTCTCAACATTTCTTGAGTGACCATTGACTCTTCTGTTATCGCAAGTCTCTGCAGTCGACCTCAAATTCCCTTTTAAGTGATTATAGTCTTAGGAATCAGTTTCCATCCTCCACAGTTCCACCCGTCCTCACAATCACTAACGTATTAAATACTCCCCGCAGTGATACATTTAGCTCTCCACCTCGCAACTTCCCATCTTCCCACTCCACCTCGCTCTCTATCTCTTATCTCTCTCCTCTATCTCTCTGAAGTAAGAAATGGCTTTGTCTGAAGTTACAGTTTACCTCGTGGTCCTGCAAACGATAGCTCTGCTTCATCAACCATGCTCGGGAGACTTTCTCTCTCCATTCCTTTCTCCAGTCCTAAGTACTGCTCTCATCTTTCTTCCATCCCCCAAATTCTTTCTTCTACTCTAAGCTCTCGTTTGGTTGTTTTCAGTTAAAAAATATGTTTTTAAAGGTGAGATTTTTTTTTCCCCCGCTAATTTTGATTGTGAAATAAAGAGTTTTGAAGAGATTTATGAAGTTTCAAAATAATATTCCTGTTTGAATATATTCAATGAAGTGATAATAATAAATGTTAACGCTCTTCAAAACAATTTCTAACTTCAGGCAATCAAATGAGCCTGGTGAAAAATTACTTAATCTTTTACCGAACAGGATTTCTCTTCTGTTCTGTAATTTCTTCCCGAATGCAAAAGAACTCCAAGCGAAGTATCAGTATTAGTTTACACAGTTTATTTAGGTTTTACAGCGTTCTTCCATCATTAAAATGCCTTTAGACACTAACAGATGTTATTTTCATGTCCCTTTGGTATTTTGTGACTTATGAACAGTTATTATTGTTTGTTAGTCGATTTGATAAATATTTTATTAATGTATCAGATGGACTCTGCAAAGCTGTGTATTGTGGTAAGGGGATTTGCAAGGTTTCTGAGAACAGCACATTTGGGTTCTCCTGTCAATGCAATCCGGGTTGGACTCAGTTACATATTGAAGAACATTTCCGTTTCCTGCCTTGCCTTATACCCAACTGTGAGCTTCTTTCACTTTGTCTATATTAATTTCAAAATCAAATAAGTCCAATAATTAGTACATGATGTATGGAGATCATTCGATGAAGTCTTTCAAATAAAGCTCCTTAGAACTAGAACACACAAATAGTGAAAACACGGCTAAATTCCTAAAAATATATTCATACTTCTTCTCTCTTATAACCCCTATTCTTATAAGCTAGCAAAAGAAATCTAGAGAAATCAAGAACATATGCCTACGGAACAATTTAACTGAGAAGCTCAGTATCATACATTGTACAAACAAATGAATGTTATAGAAGTTGAAAATAAATGTAGAAATTCAGAAAAGCTTGAATAATAACTTTATTTCTTAAATTATAATATATCATAATAGGTATTTATCTGATTTCCAAATGATTTGTAAATTTGGACAAATTACTTATGGCCAGTGATTGTTCATCTAATCCCAGATTTATAAAGATTTTGTTCAGGGAACCATTTGGAAGCATTTGCCCTGTGCAGATGCAAATTGGTCATCTAATTGTTCACTAACTAGCCTTAATTTGTTATGTTCAGGTAGCATAAATAACTCTTGCACAAAGATATCTGGACCTCTTGCACTTCCACCATTTCCAGCTCCTCCAGACAACTTCAGCCTCTTCGATCGTAAGCATGTCCTTCACCATATATATTCAATTTTTATGTTACGAACAAAGCTCAGAAAACTTGCACAAACACAGAAAAACACAAGAAAGTATAATAATCAAGTAATTCCAGGGTGCTTAAAATTTTCAAGATTGAATGAGGGAGAAGGGGCAGGAGCTTCGAGGATGCTCACAACTCCAGACTCTCATTAGATAATTTCCAACCGAATTGCATATCATTGTATGCCGTCCGTCGTTTCTTGCATTCGAACTCCAAATCTCATGCCAAAATTCGGTAGGTGAACAGTGCGACGCCAATATTGACGTCAGACTATTCACCTAAACCAAAAAACCCTTGCTTGTGAATTTGCCGAAGAAGAGCAGGAAATAGCAGAAAAGCGCGTGAAAGAGGAAAGAGATGGTTACCTTCGCAAGAAGCGCACGAAAGAGGAGAGAAATGAAGTTCAATTGGAAATGAATTACACCATTTTGAACTTTTACTGTATTTTAGAGTGTAAAATGAGTTTTTTTGGTTAGAGATGCCCTTTAGGGAGGGAGAGGAAATAGCTAAAGCTTTTCACACATTCATTTTGGATGCTCGAATTCCTCCTAAAAGAAGTATTTATAGCAGTATATGACCCATAAGAACCTACTAAATCTAATACCCTATAATTATCAAAACTTTTAGCATTGTCATAGACAAAATTTGATGCTAATTAACTTGATTTTCATTCTAAAAGCTTGCAAATGGAGTTTTTGCGGTGGTGGAGAATGCGTTCGGAGCTCAACATTTGAGCACAGTTGTGAGTGCAAGAAAGGCTACGATAACCTTCTCAATGTCTCCAGCCTCCCTTGTTACAAGGATTGTAAGCATTTCATCTCTTTTATCAATGCAATATAGAAACAAAATTAAACCTTTGGTTGGTGGCATTCATGTTTTCAGATTTGGAAATGCTTTCAACTACTTAACCAAACCTTGAAGCTTTGTTTACCACAGTATTTCTGTTAATTTAGTTTTAAATCTCTACATTATAGCTTTTTTTTTATAAATCCAAGACATGAAAAACACTATATAAAAAGGTAATATATGAGATTTTTTTTGGCATACTCATCTGTTTCTCCATGATTAAGTTTTCTAAACTGCTCAGGTTCCATTGGAGCAGATTGTTCGAACCTTGGGATCAGTATGTCGCCATCTTCTCAGCCCAGTCTTTCTGATAATGGAAATTCATCTGCAGCTGGTCAGTGCTTTCCATGAATCAGCTTTATAATAACTATAAAGTTTATTGCTTTTGTTTCTAATACTTCACAAACATTTCCTTTATGACTTTCAGATTATAATGCTCTGAATAACTTGCTATGGTTGGTGATGTTGATGATTTCTCTTGCGCTGATCTGAACGCCTTCGCTGGGTAGAATATGATGAAGATAATTAGGTGAGTCCACGGAAACAGCTATGTGTTCATTCTCTAAATATGAAGTACTACTAAAAGGAGAGCCGATTACAATATTCTTTACTGTAAATGTTCAGACAAGAAGCAAAGTTAATGTGTATGAGAAATATATCATGAAAGTTGTCGAACTCTGCTATGAGTTCATAAGCATTGTGCATTGCAGATATATTTATGAAATAGTTCTTTCATTATATGACTGTATGGATCAAACTATGCTAATTTTATTTCATAAAACAGTTGCAGTGAGTAAAATAAACTTTTTTTTTTCTTTCTAAATAAATTAAACATGAGTTTCCTTATAGTTTTATTTCACTAGCTCTTCTCATTATAAAAAGTTTTGAAATTTTTTCTGAAAATCATAACTAAATTGAACTATGACAGCTAAAAAAATACAACTTTTTTGACTTTTCCATTATAGATTGTGTCAATCTACTGTGAAATTCTATTATTTTGCTTCCAGTGGAACCCTAAAGTTGAAGAAATTGGTGCAATTAGAGCATTGCTTAATTTCTTATTATTTACTTTTGTGTAATGTCTCACTAACTTAAAAGGTTTGCTATCAAATGCTTACCCTTTTGGCAACTGATGTCGTCACTAATCCGTCTCAGCAAAGTAAAAAAGAGATCTCCCATTAGCATATGACGCGCTCAACCTCACATCTCCTTTCTCGTGTTAGATGATTTAAAGCTATATACAAAAAAATGTAAGTCGCAGCTCTGTCATCTTTCATGTGATATTTAATTTGTTTTTATATTCCATTGGATTGTTGTGTGGAGAGCTTACCTCTTATAAAATTCAGATTACTGATTTTTAAGACAGTTGTTTTAGTAAAAAGTTTTAATTTGTAAATTAAAAAATTGTTTTAAGTAGTAAGAAAATAATCTGAAAGAAATTCTCAATGTAAAAAACATAGTAAGGCAATGCTGCTTAATTTATACTTTAAAATAATTCTTGATGTAATATATTGTAATTATTAATATTATAATATATATATTTTTTTAATTTACTACTAATGGATTTTAATATAAAAGGATAAGCTCTTCATATGGAAATATAGCGTTTATTAACTTAACCATTGCCAACTAACTACCTATCACCATCAACCATTGATGACAATCGCCAACGCCCACCATCTTCATCATTAGCTAAATTTAATTAATTATTATTTCAAATGCACGGTTGTTTTACTTTTAAGCTCTCTACAAAGAAAAAAATAAAATAAAGTACTCAAGAAAAACTCATAAAAATTTTCAATGCACTATTTTTCGTGGTTTTGAAAATCGGATTTGACCAACAGTTTCAACCGTGAATCAGTACTATGGCCAATTTGGTCCTCTTGAAATACTGATGAGAACCGGGTTGAATCGTCGGAAACAGAATAGGCAGATTCAATTTATAATATATTTAAATAATTTAATTTAATATAAAATATTTATTAAATATAAAATTAATTTAAATTTAATAATATTATTAAAAATTTTACAATGTTATGTATTAAGCATTAGCAAAGCATAGCTATATGATTCCATCAGCCCAAGTAGGCTTTTAACCCATGAATACAAAAAAGCTATATAAACAACACAATACAACTCTCCCAAGTGATATGGGACTAAACAACTAGTAGAAATTTCTACGTGTGTAAGGTAGATTGCTTCCATGAAGATTTTTTGAAAATTAATAAATATAATAATTATTTATATTTAACTTTAAAATTATGTAATATATATTTATTTTTTAAGTTTCAATTATGATGATTTTAATATTAGATTGTCATAATAATTATATTAATTTTATTAATATTAAATAATAATATTATTTATTACATCGTCAAGTTCAACCCCAATTCGAACAGTCAAATCATGAACCTCGTATGATCCGATTTTTATAACCTTGATATTTTTACTTTATACAACATTCTTTTCTACTTTTCATTCTTTTTATTCTACAATTTTTTTTCTCATCAAATCAAATAAACCCTTAAAAAAACAAAAAATATATATATGGATAAATAATTGAAAATTGGTTTAACATAAAATGTGAAATGTTTATGTCACACATCATATCTATAAATACCTAAAACATCAATATACAAAATCTTAAAAAACCTTAAGAATAATGTACAATCACTCCGTACAATATATTTTCCCAAAAAAAAAAAAAACTTTCCATACAATACCTATTGATAATGGACCTATTACTATCTTACTTAACTGGATCTCTTGTTCTGTAGCTTAACTCGTATAACCCTGAGAATATTGTCTGTGTATTTTTTGCCATTTTACTTTAGGGGATATAAAAAATGTTCAAATAAATAAAATCAAATTGATTCAAAATGATTCATTCGTTCTCCTCAATTTCATTTGATCTCAATATGTCCAAAAAAAAAAAAAAAAGGAATTTCGCCATAAATAATGTTTATAGATTCATTCGTTCTCCTCAATTTCATTTGATCTCAATATGTCCAAAAAAAAAAAAAAGGAATTTCGCCATAAATAATGTTTATAGAGCCATCTTAGTTAAAAAAATAATCTCAAAAATTCAGCTAATGAGTCAATTTGTAACTGCTAGTATATGATAAATAACTATAAAAAATAAATAAAATAAATCATATTTTAGTTTAAAAAAAAAAAACTACACTAGCTGCTCTCCAAAATTTATATTTGTTCCTCGCTAATTGCAGTGAGAACGCTACTCTCTCACCATTTTTTTTTTCTCATTCTCTAATGTTGTGTTAAAAGGCTGGCTCCCCTGAATTTCCTCCTTCCTTCTTAGTCCCTCCATCCTCAACAATTATTACGTCCTCCGACCCGTCAGAGGTCAAATCGCGTCAAAAAAAATCCCGCCAAAAAACTCGGTATTTGCTCGGTATTGCTAGGTATTATTTGATAATAACGAGGAATACCGCTCTGTGAAGACCAATACCGAGTTATACCGAGCTATACCGAGTTATACCGAGCAATACCGAGTTGTACTGAGTTTTTTCTAGGAAAAACTCGGTACAACTTTTGTATAACTCGGTATTGCTCGGTATAGCTCGGTATAACTCGGTATTGGTCTTCACAGAGCGGTATTCCTCGTTATTATCAAATAATACCTAGCAATACCGAGCAAATACCGAGTTTTTTGGCGGGATTTTGCCTCCGACCGGACGTTCCTCTACGTCCTTACACCAGACCTAATAAAAGCTCCTCCATCCTACACATTTTGGAGTACATATCCACTATACTAATACCTCCAAGTAATACAACAAGTTCTTTTTGTCCATTCATTACATTGTCTATCGCATTTTGAGAGAAAGAAATAATATAAAATTTAATAACACTACTACTGTTCTCTACAAAATAAAATTAGTACTTGTGCCAAGCTTCACAGATAGATGAGAATTCAACAATGGGAAGGCATCATAAGCAACTCTTTTTCATACTTAAGTGACAAAAAGGCATCAACAATCAATGAGTCTAGATGGCGTTAAAGAGTAACTTATCCGTGGATTCAGACAAGATTAAAGCAATAGTAGAATAGCCAAGACCAACGAATTGCTTTGCCTTTATCCAAATTGATCACGAAAGATATGAAATTTGAATGGACTAATGATTGTGAATAGAGTTTCCAAGAATTAAAATAGCGTTTAACAACTGCATCTGTATTGACAATTCCTTCTGAAACTGAAGGATTTCAGTTGTTCAGATATGCTTCTCTAAAAGGGTCGGGTTGTGTATTGATGCAAAATAAAAAATTTATTGTCTATGCTTCCAGACAGTTGAAATCTCATGAAAAGAATTATACAACTCATGATCTAGAATTAGCTACAGTGATTTTTGCCTAAAAAAAATAAACATGTACCACGCAAGATCCATTGAGTGCCCGCAAGATCCCCTAACTCAATTAAAAAGTACTAGACGGCATAACTGATAACGTTTAACTATGAAACTAGTACTTCCCGCTGCATCATCCCTCAAAATTCCTCCGCAATATCAAGGAAACTTCTTAACGTTCTCATATGATAAAAATTCGGCCATCCCATTCAAGTCAAAAAATTAATAGCCATCCCCGGAAGCTATCAGGGAAATATTTTTCCTACCAACTCAGATTTCAAAATAACTTCTAAAGACTATTACGAATAACATATACATCATTCAATGGCCTCTTCATTTATTTAAGCTCTTAATCAGATTATTCTGTTCAATTTGACCACAAAATCAAACCTTTAACAAGTACTTATCTACCTTACATAAATTTAAATATTCTCAACAGCTTCTATTACAATTAAAAAAAGGATATACACTTTAAATTGTATAAAACATAGTTGAATAAAAGCAAATGGCAGCAAAAAGAACCATAAATTCAAACCAAGTATGATGTCGCACCTACAACTGCTTCAATTATCAGCAGCCCTGAACAGATTAAGCAGGGAGAGGAACAGATTAATGATGTCAAGATACAGCGCCACAGCAGCCCAAATATACTCATCATAACCATATCGCTTGATCAGATTATCAGTGTCAAATATTATATATCCACAGAAGACAAGAGAAGCCAGGCCACCATAGATCATATGTGAGATCTTTCCCATTGGGAAGAAAAGCTGAGTTCCAAGAAAAGAGAAAATTGCAGTTGTTAACAATGGCAATCATGAATGCAGAGGATGATCAAGATTCATTACCTGGATTATACCGAACATCATCAAAATTATCACTGCACAAAACAAGAATGGTCCAAGGAAGCTAAAGTCATGACCATTCTTGGCTGCCCAGAAGGTGTAGAGTGTGAGGCTGACAACAACCACGGCGGTAAGAAAAGCAGCCTCCAGAATCACCTTCCCTGTTTCCCATACAAAAGCAAAGATAACAAATTGACATCTAAAGAAAAAAAAAAATTTCTTCCTTACCCATACCAGTTTTAAAATTTATAATTCAGCTGGTGTTAAGATTCACAAATGAAGCAGAAGAGATGAATCCCACAATAGATGTAAAATACAAATACAAGGAGATTGTTAAGAATTACTTTTTCAACAGATTCATTGTGAAAAATGGTTGGAGTTGCTAATATATTAATGATGTATTTTACTCATTAGCTTAAAATTTTGAATTTATTAGTGTCCATTTACTAGTATAGTTCAAGTTTTTTGCCTCCTTGCATCAATAAAGTGAAGGAAGATTCGAAGAGCTTACCACTTGTAAAGGCACAAGTTAGTCCCACAGCAAAGCTGATGGATACAGTGAAAAGGCCGAGTAAAAGAAGGTTTATCGGATGGCGCTGGTAGTAGTTGTACAGAGGCCACATCACTGAAAATTTAACAAAACAATAATGATATCTAAAATCTCTCAATCCAAGAAAAACATTTGAATTCTACATGGCAATTAACAAGTAAAATGAAGATGAAAGTTGGAAAAAGAGAAACAAAAACTTGAACTTCATGTGAAAAAGATCCAACAGACAATCAGAAGACCATGATGGAACCCTAATAGCCCCATAATAGATGAAAAATAGAACCACTTCTAAGGGCTTTCATATTGTGTTTAGAGAAAAGAAAATTAACATAGCAAAAGAATTTCATAATCAGGAAATAACAAAGACTGGTGAATTTCCAGCAAAGAGCAAATATTTTAAAGCATAAGAAAACCACCGCGAAGTTAACCGGTCAAGAATGAAATCAGGGGGAAAAAAGGAAACCAGATAACGGTCTAATCAACTGAAAAAAAAAAAAGATTAAAATAAAAAGTTGGAAATGGAAAGAACAAGAAAGGGGTGATGAGGATATACAGATGAAAGGTAAAATTATGAGGAAAATGTAGAGTCCAAGTCCGGCGCCTGATGAGACAAAGAAATAAGAGATGGGCTTGACGAAGACGACAAGGGAGGAGACTGCGATGGTGAGCAGCAACTGGATGGAAACAATTGTGTAGATCTTACGCACAAACGCCCACCGCAGCTCCGGCCTCTCAAGCATCATCGGGTAAAGCGGCCTAGTCTCGCTGCCCTCCTCCACATCGCCGCGTTTCCAGTACGGCGGTCGATACCAGCTCATCTTCCTCCTCTCGTTTTTGCTCTTAGAGATGCTAGTGTTGGTACAACAAGGATTTCAGTCAGAAAGCGGATGGCGAACGACGGAACACGAGGAAACTGAAAGAAAGGTAGGCTTCCACGGAGCTTTTATCCTTGCAATTGTGGTTGGGGATTACCGGAGTGCATGTTAGGAAAAGCGACACTTGGTACACGTGGATAGCAAACCGGTTCGCAGAAGAGTTGCATCTTCTAGAGGGGAAAATTTTTTTGTGAGAATATAAGAATGCAAAATTTATTTTAATGTCCTTAAATCTGTGACATACTATTTATAATTGTTGCGTGCTAGAATATATGCGGCGATAGAGTTTCTAAATTATTAAGCATTTATCCCATCACATGAGGTCAGCTAAATGAGTCTATTAATGTCAGAGGCGGAAGCCCCATTAGGTCAGGAGGAAATTGTCCCCTCTAAAAAAAAATATTTAAAAAAAAACTTTATAATTGTTGCGTGCTAGAATATACGCGGCGGTAGAGTTTGTAAATTCACGTCTGAGCATTGTACGAGTATTCAGCACACAAACAGAAAAGAGAATTGAACACCAAGGTTTTTACGTGGAAAACCCGAAAGAGGGAAAAAATCACGGGGTCTCGCTCAGTTTTAAAGTTCCACTAGTATTTGTTTGAAGTACAAAGGTTGATCCGTCTTACAAATCAAGACGATCAGTTTACAATCAATTTCTCACAAAGTTACAAAATTCTGCAAATTTCCGGCGTTTCCCGAAAATCCGGCAGAGTTCCGGCGTCTTCAGGCGGCGGGAAGAGCTCCTACGATGGTCGAGGAGGAGCTTCTTCCTTCTCCTCCTTCTCTTCTCCTTCTCTTGCTTCACTTGAGTCCCCTTTGTGAAGAATGAGGGCTCTATTTATAATTTTTCTGGAGTAGCATGGCTTGTAAATAGGTGTGAGATCATGAACGAATAGGGAGTGGTTTGAATGGACGGCCGATATTGAACCTTCGATCGTGCACCGTTCGTTGGACATTTGGAGGCCTTAAGGATGCCGGAATTCAGATATCTTGGGCTCGTTGGATTCGTCTCGTCGAGCCGCTCGATTCAAGTATAAGCTAGTTAAAATCGGAGGCCTTCCAATAGCGCTTCGGACCCTTGATTCGGACTCATTTTGGCTTGGATTGGGTTGAACTTGGTGTCGTTGGGTTCGTATTTCCGAGACGCTCAGTTTGACTATAGGCTCGTTGAAATCGGAGTTCTGGTGCTTCAGAATTTAATTTTTGAAGTTTATAACTAGCTTTTGCCTCGATATTCGTGCCCGATCAAGCTAATTTTGTGATGCCGTATCAATAATATTTTGAATTATATTAATTTAATATACATTCAAGAACAAGAAAACCATTTTGAAGCATTTTATAATAATATATCATTACAATTATTGGAGATGATGAGTAAACACCACAATGACGATACAAGCAAGAAACTAAAAGCAAAATAAATAAATAAATAAATAAAGGACATCAGGATTTAACGTGTAAAAATTCGAAATAGTGAAAAAACTATGGAGCCACACCATATCAAGAAATTCATTATGAAAATTGAGAGAAATAAGTACAGATTTCTATTCTCTCTTGCTCTCCCCTTGCTTATCTTCTCTTACATCATTCTCACACACAAAATAAAAGAGAAAGTCAAGTTAATAATACAAAGGGACGCTACTTCAAGAAAAACAAGAACTAAAAATGTTTTGTCCACTTCGAATCACTGTGATGCTAGTTTAATGCGATACGACACTCAAACCTCCTCCATTGGTCCGTCTGATAGCGCCGATCGAGGTGCCGAATTTAGAGTGCTACAACGCAAAGCCCTCTGTCATTTCTCCTAGTAAAGTTTGCAGCACCGTGCTACTCGAGAGCACAACGCTGGAGTGCTTCGGTACACAATATCAGGGTGTTCGGGTATACAACGTCGGGGAGTTGTACGAGAATTTTTTTTTTTAATTTTGTGATAAATAATCATGGCACCATTTAGTTCTTCATTTATTCAATATTTGTGTTCGTTAATGACTTCAGAATTAAATGTTTTTAGGTTCGTTAGATTTGCCTTATCAAGCCGCTCGAAATTGCTAAAAGAATGCATCAATGCAATATCATGAGGCAGTTTAGCTCTTCAATTAATATCTTAAATCTTTCAAATTTGCTTCAAGTAGTTGATTTTGGTTCATAATGATGCATATCATATCAATTATAATGCTGATAAATTCGTCTTATTTAGATTTTAAATTCGATTATAAATTTATTGAAATAAGATTTCAAATAACTCTGAATTTATTTTTTTTAAAAAAATAATATAAAATAATGTATTGAGTTTTAATTTTTAAAGATATGTCAATTACACAAATAATAAAATTCAGTTCTTATATGATTGACGTAGCATAACTAATAATAGATTATGTGTGTTGAGTTTAAAACATCATAAAATAGGGCAAATTATTGCATCCGTTCATAAGATGAGGAAAATAGGTTCGGACATCCAATAAAAATTTGTCACGTCACCTGCACTTTTGACTGTGTTTTTGACTTGCGCTTTGACTACGCTTTACCTACGCTTTTGATTGCGCTTTGACCTACTTTTTACCTGCGCTTTACCTACGCTTTTGATGCGCTTAATTTAAAATCATATTTTATTAATATCCGAATTTATCTCCGCGTCCCGTGATCGGCTGCAATAATTTGCCCATAAAATTATGGACGTAAAAAATTAGAAAGAACATTCTCATTGCTTTCTTAGCCTCCAAGCAAAAGTGTATCGCACCGTACATTTATTTTGATGGATAATGACAGTGTCGTTTAACTACTTTTCTTTAGCTGAAAGTCATTTAATAATTGCAAATATTATTCAATATATGTTTGCTTGATTAAAAGTGAACGCACCCAAAATCCCACCATGATAGAAGAATACATGATAGAGGCTCCAACGTGCGGTGGCCCGCAGGGTGCAATTCTAAGTTTAAATTTTTATCTATTCTATGAATTTCTGCTCGTCTCCAACTTGGGAGAAAATTCAAGGCGAGGGTGTTCTCATTCACACTTAGGATAAAATTTACGAACTTTTATTTGGTCCGGTGAACGTACGCAACTTTATGTTCGGCTGTCAGTAGAATTGCGCCACGCATTTTCATTATTTACCGCGCGCCCCGACAACCCAACCCGGAACGGACCCAAGATTGCTCTGTATTGCTAGGTATTGGTCGATTTTGCTCGGCAATAACCAATACCGAGCAATACCGAGCAAATACCTAGCAACACCGAGCAAATACCGAGTTGTACCGAGTTTTTTCTAGCAATACCGAGCAAATCCCTAGCAATACCGAGCAAATCCTGAGCAAATACTGAGTTGTACCGAGTTGTAAAAAAATTCGGTACAACTCGGTATTTGCATGGTATTGGTCTTCAGAGAGCGGTATTTCTCATTTTTGCAAAATAATACCTAGCAAATACCGAGCAAATACCGAGCAATACCGAGAAAATCGTGAACATAGCATTCCCGGGTTCCGCTCCGGGTCAAGTCGTCGGGCCACGCGATAAAGAGTAAGAGCACGTGGCGACATGCTATTGGCGGCCGAACGTAGCTCTACGTCCGGTCAGAGGACGTAATAATTGTTCAAAATTTACAGGGGAAAAAATTATGATAAAATATTTTAAGTAAGAAAAATCCTATATTCATGTCAAAATAATTTTTTATTTGTGAATTTGCCCACTAGTTAAAAAAACTTGATTGGAGGGATTTATGCCTTCTGCAACTTTTATCTTTGATGATTCGAAGAAATATATATATATATTTGGAGGCTTTTTAGCCTTACAAAATTTTTAAATGAGTAGAGGTCCTAGAAACCAATTGCACTCATAGAGTCTTTTAGTAATGAACATGTCCACTACTAATTTTCTTTAGAGGCTACCATATGGGTGTACTTTCATAGGATTATTTGTTAGAGCAATGCTTGATGTCGTTATCTAAAATTGAAAAAAATAAACAAAAAATTCACAAGGGATGTTTGAGCTACTCGAGATTATTTGTGAAAGTATTGCTCGACAATGTTAACCTCTATGGAAGAGATTGAAAGAATCCAGTAAGGAAGCGGTGGCAAACTCGGTGGAAGTCCGTTGGGCGATGGGTTGGTTGTAACTCCCCAAGATCTAACTTGAAAAGAATTTCAATCAATCCATTAAAACCATCAATCATTTATCAGAACTATCTATAGTCTTCAATCAATAACAAACAGTCTAACAAAATTCTATAATTTAAAACATCAATGTACAATTATATTCATATCACAAAAGTTCATATACAATACTCAGAATCTACACAATGATAACATGAAATGAAATCTATCCTGTCCTGAGTATAAAATAATCACTATAACAAAAAAGAACAAAAACCTGAGGATTCCAGATCAATCTCAATCTCCTGCTCCCTTGCCCTGACCTGAAAATATTAACCACATATAATGAGCTTCAAAAAGCTCAGTAGGTCACCTAATACCTACAACTGAAATCAAAGCACAGTACTGAAACAATATGCATGTCAGTCCATTAAATCCATAACAATCAGTTGCACATGATCAGTGAATATATGCAGTATATACGAAAAATCAGTAATCAATGCATGATCAATACAACCCACAATCATTGGTAAAAGAATCGATAAACGGTAGGAAGAAGTCCATAAAGCTCCATGAATCAGTACATACGATAAATCACGTAAGAATCCAATCAAATCAATAGAGAAAAATCATCGTCTCGATAATAACCGTTAAATCAATATCGTATCAATATAATCAATCAAATCAATTATCTCTGGTCAATAACATCAATCAGTATGAAATCATATAAAACAATCAATTCCAATACATCACAATAACGGTTGAAATCAAATCAATACAGTAAAACATATTCCATATTGATCAATGAATCACATGAAGCAGTTCAATATGGCTTTGTATCAATGAAGCGGATAAGTATCAATGAATCATAGTTCACATCGCTGCCATAGTAACAATAAGTCAATGCAATATCGATATCCATATCAGTATCAGTATCAATGCTTAGTGACACGTACAATATGCAGTATCAATGAACCGACAATACAGTAAACCCGTAAATCCATCAGTAAATCCAAATTCGTCAAGAAATAATCCAACATTAAATCCGTCGATATCAATAATCTATAAATCCGTATTATTATCATAAGACAATTTTGTACACATGCAATTAATACAATAGTCTTACTGAATAAGTTACCATCACTGGCCTATTAGGACGTTTTCAATGTTCGATGTATCGTTATGTATTCTATTGTGCTGTGTGTAGAAATATCCAAATCACGTTGGTCTAAATAGAGTCGTCAACTCTTTGCCGTCGGCGTCCCGTCCGGATTATCTCCTTATGACTTTCCTCAATCGTTTATATCAATTGATCAATGAGGATAACACCAACCCTTTTTAAAGGAAAGCCCGTCGGCCCACCATCATGTACATGTCAAGTCAATCTCCAACCAACGGTTCAACCAGTCTTCACTTGTCTTTCAGTAAAAATAACAATAATTCAATCATATATTCATATTCGTATGCATATCAACGAAGTATTGCAATCAATAAATACAATTTAGCTCAATGCAGAAAAACCCCTTAAAATATCGTATAGAAGACAGACGTCGTTTCAAAATGCATAGTTCCCGAAAATTATCAAATTACCAGAAATTGAATAAAATAACTTTACAAAGCTTTACTTGTGCTGAAGCAATATTTTTCAATAACCAGATAATTTTATATTCGATAAAAGTCGCACAGAACTCAAAATAACATGTAGAAACTTTATAGAAAATACACAAATCGTGTAGAAATATCATATCAGAAACATATCAAAAGTTGTGCGGTAAAACTTTCGTCAATACAAAATTATGTGCGTTTTTCGGTAACAGAAACACAAAACTGGGCACAGAATTATCAAAACTCAAAATCTTCGAAATCAGAAATAGGATTCGGAGTTCTTACTGTGAGACAAACAAATCTTTCAACTGCGTCGTCGGACGAAAAGCGCTTCGCGGCCTCCGAAATCAAGCTTCTTCTTTCTCTTTCTCTCTCCTACTTTTTCTCTTCCCTCAAAATATTTCCAAAATATCTCAAATCCGATACTTATCAAGCAGGATCGTCCAAGACGATGCCCAGATCGTCCCGGGACGATCTCCTCTGGACACATATCGTACTAACGAAAATTAATTCCAATTTGTTTAGTCACTAGACGATGCTCTCTGTTCGGTTCGTCCCGACCCTTACAGGATCGTCCAGACGAAATTGACAGATTCTTCACAATTTTCTTCAGTTTGTCCGGACTAATAGCACTAAAAAAAATCAGCTTCTGAGGGGTTTTACAATCTACCCACCTTAAGAAAAATGTCGTCCCAACATTTCCCTTAAGGAATCGAATGCAAAATCGATATAAAACAAATCCGTCCAATCAAAACTCAAATCAAAATTAAATCGAATCAGAATCGAAATCAAAACTTGTCTGAATCCATACAACATCCAATTCATTCAATCACATGTCACTATGCATGATCATATATCAATCAATAAATTAGTCAAATAATCTTACCAGTAGAATGTTCAGGTCGTCGTTGATCTTCATAATGCTGTAAACTGTATACACGTGGCATCACCGGAGTAGGTGCAGTAGATCGTGGTGCAACGGTCTCCCTCTGACTATCAATGACAGCTCTATCATTCATCCTGTTTGTTGATCTTTCATTATATGCTCTTGAGCCAACAGTCCTCTGTCCTGCAGTACGTCCAGACTGTCTTGTGCCAGAATCAGTTCTTTCTCCAAATCCTTTTGGAGGATAATTTGCTGCTCTATGTCCTTGTTGTCCATAATGAAAACATTGTCCAGTCAATAAGCAACACCGACCTGCATGTCGTCGACCACAATGAATGCACTTGCTGTAGCTACCAGAAGATGCTACCGATGCAGATCCCCTCGAATCACCATACTTGCTTCTCTTATCTCTATCCCTTTCTCTACTCGCTTCATTTCTTCTACTTGCTTCATCTCTACTCCTCCTGGTGACTTCATATCTCGATGCTGGCGTTGCCAAATTGATTTCTATCAGTCTGGCTCGCTCCACCAACTCAGAAATCTCATGAATCCGTAATGATACTAGCGGATGTCTTAATTCTCTGTTCAATCCTTGCAGAAATCTATAGTATTTTTCTTCAGCAGTGAGGATCAAATGAGAAGCGTACCTAGCAAGAACGGTAAACTCAGCCTCATATTGCATCACTGTCTTGCATCCTTGCTCCAACTTAATAAAAGCTTCTTGCATTTGTCGTTGGGCTGAAGGAGGTACAAACCACATCCGAAACACTATAGTAAACTCATCCCAAGTGATCTCAGCATTTGTCTTCCCCTAAAATTTCTCTCTCTGCTGTCCAATCCACCATCTCTTTGCTTCTCCTTCAAACAAAAACACAGCTAAAGGTACCTTTCGATTTTTCGGACACTGCATGCTGTCAAAGATCTTTTCTATCCTCATTATCCAATCTTCAGCAGCCTGGGGTCCTACACCTCCTTTGAACAACGGAGGCTTCAGCTTATGAAATGCTGTAAATGCTTATCTACTTCTTCTTCTTTACTTCCAACCAGCTTACTCTGTGCATCTCCCATCACATGTGCTATAGCAGTAGCCAACTACATCATACTTTCTGAAGGTACTGGAGCTGCATTATGTTGCTCATTTGGTACACTTGATTCCGGATTATCCATTTAACTTTTTCACCTGCACAGTTCAGTATAATAGGAATGATACACACATGCAACTATATATGCCAAATGATGCACTTGAAACTACCCATTCTACTCAACTCTCAATCAAATCCTATAACTCTGGTAACAATCAATTCTTCCAATAACTATGCTCTGATACAAAAAATTTTCCTGACCCTTACATGATCGTCCAGACGAAATTGACAGATTCTTCACAATTTTCTTCAGTTCGTCCTGGACTAAAGTCAGTTCGTCTGGACCAAAAAAAAAAGGTTAAAAATTATAAAATATATGATAAGTGCAAAATATACAAGCTCAAGCTAAAGTTGAAGCCTTGTCCGCCCTTTTGTGTATTGTTTGAATTAAATGCATGTTTCATCATCACTCTCATAAGAGCTGATGTTGTGGAGAGATTATCACGTGCAAAGACAGGACACAGAGAATCGTTCGATTTTATCTTTATAAACAGTAAAAAGGTCGTGTTGAACAGTAAAAGTGCAGTGATGAACAATAATTGTGCTTTTACTGTTTATAGAGACAAAACCGATCGGTTCTCTGTATCTGATTTTTGCACTTAATAATTTCTCGATGTTGCGATAGCCACCAAATAAGTCTATTGGTAATTGTATCATTATGTGACGGCCCACACAATAATGGTCTTCTAGAGATACACTCTTCCAATGAATCAAATTCATATGTGATCAATCCCGAGTCATCTTATTTGTAAGATATGCTCCATCTAATTTATGATATCATTTGAAGTTGGTGGAAAAGAGGAACAACAATAGACCCTATAACAAAAAAAAGTTTCAAGTACAAAGCATATGTGGATCTTTTGGAAGGAAGTTAGATTAAAATATGTGTTAATCATATTTTTAAGTTTTTTAAAATTTGACTTAAAAAGTTAAATTTAGGCTTCGTTTGAGATAGTTTTTTACCACTATTTTTTTGCGGCTTTAAAGAAACTTTTGTATTGAAAAGTTGTTTTATAAAGCAGCAAGAAAGATATCACAAACGAAGCTTTAGTTGATAAATTTAATAGGCTTAATTCAACTTAAATCCGATTTAAAGCTTTCTTTTGGATAACTTTCTTACCACTATCTAAAGTAGATGTTAATTATAAAAAGTTTTTGAAAGCAGAGAAAAAGCAATGGCCTTATGCTTCGTTTGGAATATCTTTAGGTCACTATTTTTTCTCAACTTTCAAAAAAGTTTTATACTAAAAAAGGGCTTTAGAAAAAAATAAGAAAAGTCTCAAATAAAGTCTTAGGCTTCGTTTGGGACGGCTTTTTCATTGCTTTCTAAAACGGAGTTTTAGTACAAAAATAAAAAAATTTGTATTAAAACTCCGTTTTAGAAAGCAATAAAAAAGCCGTCCCAAACGAAGCCTTAGACTTCGTTTGGAATTGCTTTCTTACTATTTCTTAAAACATTTTTTAGTACAAAATTAATATTTTTTCTTTAAGAAGCAACAAAAAATCGTCCCAAATAAAACCTTACTCTCAAACACATAACCCTAAATTTGTTGAGTTTAGTGACCCAACTAAATGTAATTGATATTTTTCTATTTGGAGTTTATTAATGTAAGAGGGTTTTAGATAAAAATTATGTGGTGTGTATGTAGATCACCCTTTTATATAATTATAATGAGAAAAAAAAATTAAAATGATCGTTTGACTCTTTATAAAGGAATAAAATAACCCACAATTAAATTAAAAAATTATTTTGATCCCTAAAATCTTAAAAAATGAATCAAAATAGTTCAATAATGAGACTATTTTAATTCATTTTTTAAATTTTAAAATATTAAAATAGTTATTAATATTGCTAAAAATTATTTTGATTTTTCATAAAAATATAAAGTAATTCACTCGCTAATTAATCTCTAAAGAGGCAAAAAGTTGAAGATCTTAGGCAATTTATGAATACTGAGAAGGGATATGACTAGGTCTTCATTTAAATTTGCCATAATCCTGCACTATGGTTGCAGCGATAAACATGAGTAACTGAAAATGCTTCATTTCTATATTTTGGTGATGTAAGTATTGCATGTTTACTACTATATTTTCCATGGTTTACTTTTTTTTTTTAATTCATTTCACAGGCTTTGCGACTTTTCGTGGGTGAGCCTGTGTGGACTCCACACAACCGACCTAATGATCATCTTCCTTCCAGGTAAAATTAACTAGTTTTTCTCATCCTACAGTTAACATTCTTGCTGAGCTATTGTATTACTAATCATTGCTTGCTCATTGCAGGAAGGAGTATCTTGATTCATTGATGAACAAGGCAGCTGCTGTTGAGGCTCGCTAAGGTCATTCGAGAACTGCATCACTTAACACCAGTCCTAACTACCTACCTTAATACCGTCTTTGATTACCGTTTGCATCTTATATATAAACCTCATTTCAAGGTGCCCGTCTTGTTTTGATATGATACCTTTGTAGCTGCGTCTTAAAATCCATAAAATCGATTGCTTGGTGCCATACTAAATGCTTGAACATGTGGCATTAGTTTATCCTCAGTGCCTACGGCCTGCTATTGTACTTGTATGACTAAAGAACTAAGAAGGTGCTTTGCTTAAAATCTCAACAATTTTCAGTTATCTACCGCCTGGTTGCTTATATAATAATTTATTTGGCGATTCTATCTCCTATTTGAAAGTGAACAGTTGTTAATCTTTTACAAACTTTGTTTTTAAGCAGTTTTGATCTTTAGATGTTATGTTATTGTTTTTTCACTTGTGAATGCATTTCAATGTCCATTGTTTTTTACAACCGAGACTCCTGTAGGGCTTCCTGATATGTTATGAGTATAGAAACAAATGGCAATATTAAGGAAAACAACAAAAAATCAGCTTAAAGGGGATTAAAGATAATATAATTTGAATAGGATGATAAGCAATTGGATTTTCTCTCCGAAGATCAATAGGAAAACGAAGATAAAAAGTTCATTCATAGGTGGGATTAGACAAAGTTGATGAGGTGGTGAGAAGATCATAGTATTTATACCGGAAGCTTCAGGAGGAAGCTAAACAAGGGAAGACGATGGTGTTACAAATAATGGAGAGGAAAAATAGGAAGATTTTTCATAAGCATTACCTTCAAGTTTTGGAGTGCATACAATAGTGTATTGCTGAAGATGATGTGATGTTGGATGGCCAAAATGAACTTGTTTGAGAAGTGTGATGGTGGAAGGTAGAGTAGAAAAGATTCTAGATGTCAAGTAGTAAACAACATTAGCTTCAACATCTCCATCAATTATCTTCCTTGTACTTAGATTCTAAAAAATCACAATTACCGTGATAAGTATTGTGTTTTGTGAGAATGAATGGAGTGTAAATTGGCATGAAATTTAGGAACATATGTGAAATATGAAGGCTAGCGTTTGTAGAAAATGAATATACTGTAATAAGGATTAATGATAGAGATGATTAGTTCAGCCACAATGGGAGAATAGAGGAAAGGATTTTAATCCATATGTACCATCACCCCCACAATAATGCCTTGTTGTTAGAGAAAAAATGTTTGGAGATTAATAGAGAATGAGTCAAAAGCTTAGCCATTCAAGAACATATGATGGAGTTCGCTGTTAGCTGTTATTGTACCTGTTGGAGTGAATAATGAAACAAGAAAGAAATTTGGCAATAAGAAAAATCTTATTATATTTTTAATATTTGGTAAGTTGTGAAGGGTTGATATTGAGGAAATTCATCCTACCAAACCCCAAAGGGTATTGTATCATTTATATACTGAAAGATCGTTTTCTTTTAGAGATAAAAAGTTAAAAATGAAGTATGCAAATTCTGGATATGTTGCTTTTCTAAAAGTAGAGTAAATAAGTCAAATAGGGCCTGCTGTGCTACACCTCTGAAGGAGAAAAATTTTGCATTCTCTAATATTTGAATAAGATCGTTCCTATAAATAGCATGACAGAAAAAAGCGAAAACAGATAAAGACAAAATGTGTCACATTGATCCTAATAGAATACTCACATCTCCTAAAATAAATTAGCTTTTATTATCATTTAGACTTTGGAGAGAGAACAGATTCATAGTGAAACCAAACTGGCTTAACAAATTTGAACCCAAGCTTCAAAAGCTCGTTTAAGGGAAAATTCATTACGTGTGTTGTCCGGACGTATATGCTGTTCAATCTAGATGCGTCATGTCACCCAATACATAGTGCATTGGATGACGTGGCGCATCCGGATTGACCTCCAGACGCGTTCGGACACCGCACAGAATAATCTCTCCATTGAAGGATAGGATGCTTCTGAATAACTGTTTAACCGTGCATCATTCAAATTAATTAACATAATCCTATTAGTCAACATATTACTGCTAACAGTATTATTACTTTGGTTAATTTTTTATTCGTTAGTTTTAATCAAATAAGCTTGCAATCCATGTACTTAGATTGATTAGCTTCGTTTGTGATGACTTTCTTGCTACTTCTTAAAATAGTTTTTAGGTACAAAAAATTGGTTTAGAAGCAGTAAGAAAGCCGTCTCAAACGAAGACTAAATTGAACAATCGATAAATAGAACGGAAGCTAATTGTCAACCACTAATAGTTATTGATCAACTGCAAGTCCCCTTTTAATCTTTTAATCAACAGCCTCCTTATCCACTACCATCAGTTCGATGTGGACACAATGTTCTCAAATGGATGGATAAAAAGATTGGCTTTTCAAAAAGAGCTTATCTAGCACTTGGCTTTCTCCAGAATATTCATCCTCATTGCATTTAACTTCTTCTCTCGGTTGAGGAAAGAGGATTAGAGCTTCACATCTCCATGGATTCTTGGAACAACTTGGTTTCCTCTAAGCTATAATTACCAGTTTAAGCAATTTGCTACTTACGATATACCATTGCTTGAAATTTTCGTCATTTATCTTTGCGAGCGGGATGTGCGTTGTGCTCCTCTCCAACAGTAGCCAATACACGCACTCCGTCGTTTCACTCCGCTCGAGTCGCATGCAGAAAAGCAGAGAGGGGATCGGGATTTTGTTCTCATGCGCAGAAAAAGGAAATAGGGCTTCCTATTTGCGACGATTTTAAACCGGTGTTACTGCACCAGTTTTAAACGGTGTTAGAATTGGTTTTTAACAGCGGTTCTATTACCGCTACTACCAACTGATGCTAAAAATATAACTTTTTAGTAGTGACTGCAGCTAATGTGAACTCAAAGCAGATCTGCAGCAGCTTGCTGTAATGTGTAATCAGAACTTGACCAAATTGTAATTTTTTTTAAACTGCAAATTTCATTTTAATTTTTTTTTTATAGGATGAACGATAAATCATAAAATAACATATTGTATTGCTCAGAATATACGAAAAAACTTTCTCCAATCGTAGTAACTGAGCTGCTAATCCTTTTGCAATCCACCTCTATTTGTTATCTTTTATTGGTTGGTTGATAATTAGTAATTTCAATAATTAATGATATGTAAAGCTTAAATTAAACCAAAAATAAGGAAAAACAAACGAACAAAATATTATGAGTAAGCTATAATGGTAAGAAAAAATGTGATGATATTATCCTAATATAATTTTGATCAAGATGAGCTTTTAAATTATTAAATTTATTTTGATATTAGTACTACACGTAAAGAATTTATATTGCACTCATTTGCAAGTATATTCAATAATTTTCAAGCCTAGTCTAACCAAAAATTACATTAGGATATTCCAAGCAAATATTATTTCTTTTTTGGTTGTAGCAAAGAAAAGTTTTGATTTTGAATCCTGTAGCAGGGAAAGGAAGAGATTAGTAGCAATAGCAATAATATTTTCTTTTCTATATCTAACCATCGTCTTCATAATAAGTAGCTAAATTATTTCATTTAAGTGTTTATTTCTTTTCTATCGGTATCTATAGGAACAATTATTACGTCCTCCGACCGGATGCAGAGAAACATCTGGTCGCAGGCAAAATCCCGCTATACTGAGGTGTACTGAGTTTTTCGAAGTACACCTCAGTACAGCGGGATTTTGCCTGCGACCGAATGTTTCTCTCATTCGGTCGACCGGACCAAATAAAACTTCTATCTATAGAGTGATCACAAACCGAAGCATGGTTAGAGTACTTATAGGAAAAGAAAGCAAAAGTGATTCTCGTAGTAGCGGCGAGTGAAATGGAAGTAGCCTGAATCGTGAAAATGGGATTATAGGAGAGCAATACAAGCGTCATGTTGCATGCTAGGCGAAGTTGTGGTGTGTTGCACGCTAGATGGCGAGAGTCCAATAGCCAAAAACATCACTAGCTTACACTCTGACCCGGGTAGCATGGAGCACATGGAATCCATTGTAAATCAGCAAGGACAATCTTGCAAGGCTAAAGACTCCATGGTGACTGATAGCAAACAATACCATGAGAGAAAGGTGAAAAGCACCCCCATTGGGGAGTGAAATAGAACATGAAATCGTGAGCTCCCAAACAGTGCAAGGAGAATATGATCATTGACCGCATGCTTGTTGAAAAATGAGTCAGCGACTCATACGCAGCGGCTTGGTTAAAGGAATCCACCGTAGCTGTGGCAAAAACTAGTCTTCACAAGGCGATTCATCACAGTTTAACCCTTTATTTACAAAATTGTTTAGATAAATTAAAAAAGTAAAGTAAATATTAAATATATAAATTAAAAAATTAAATGCTATATATATATATATATATATAAATCCCCCACAAAAGTATAGAGCTGGATGGAAAGAAACATGGTAAGTTTTCTTACCATAAGTGCCGTTGTCATATTTGAACCCGGTTCGGTTCACTCGTGCCAAGCGGCCCAAGCCGAGAGGAATATATAAAAGTGATAGAAGATCATCTTTAAAATTCGTCATGGCGGGCCCTACTGCTCCACCGCACCGCACTTTGCCACTTTCACTTCCGCTTTGTCATCCACGGAATAATGACAAAAGCCATGTGGACAATTCAAAGCGCAGCCTGAATTTTGTCTCTAATTTTAAGAATTGGAAATGCTAATTGTATTAAAATAATAATAAAATTTGACATTAGAGGTCCGCTCAGTTCTTCAAGATTTTTCATTTTTGCTAAGAAATAATTTTCTTCAAAACGGTGTGTTGGGAAATATAATCACAGAACAAAACAAATAGAAAAAAATAATAATAAAAATAAAGTACAAAAAAAAGAAGAAAGAATTCAAAGATTTAACATAAAATTTTTTGAAAAATTCTCAATACCGCTCTTAAAAAAAAAACTATGAAAATAAGGAGAAATTGTACCTATATATTTTCTTATGCTCTCTTTGTATCACTTTATTTTACAAATACAATAATCACTCAAAACAAATAAGAGACACATTAAACAAGTGAAATAAGAATAATAAAGAAGAAAAATTGTTCAACCTGACTCGTAACACTACAGTGTTAGGCTTTGGAGTGCCGTAGCGCTCAACTCTTTATCTTAAACCTGACTCACAATGTTGCGACGATTGAGGTTGGAGCACTGCAGTGCTCTGCTTTCTATCTCCAGCCTGAGCTTAAAGAGCTGCAGTGTTTCAGCTATAGTGCCTCAATGATGTATGGTTGTATAGGTAGAAAAAATTTTTAGGGCTTTGCCCGCAAACCCCTAAGAAACCCATCAACAAGCTTCTCATCGAGCTCGACCTACAAAATTAAGGTCTAAATTAACAGTTCAACACGAATGATCAACATAATCAAAATCCATACAAAGCTAACATGGTAAAAATTAATAATTAATTTAATTAAACAAAATCAGCTAAAATTGATAATTAAATTTCTCTCACAATCTCAGTGGACGGTGGGAGATTAGAATTATTTTTTATTGATGAAATTCAAACAATATGGTTGTGCATGCACTATTTCTAAAGATGGTAGAAGATTAAGATTAGAAAACCAACAAGAACATCAACACAACTAATTAAAGTCCAATCTATGATCTAAGAGCTACTAATCACAAATTAGCAAAAAAATTACTATTATTATTGCAGGCTAGAATATTCACAATTGTAGAGAAGTAAAAAGTTTAACGCCTTAGCTTTACAATTAGATAAAAAGATAGAGGGTGTAGCATTCATTAGAGATACCAAGATTTTTATGTGGAAAATCCTTTAAAGGGGAAAATCACAAGGCCACGCTCATTTGAAACAATTCTACTAATGTTTGCAGTCGATCACAAATAAGGATCTTCCTTGGGGGACGGTCTTGGCTTGATGTAATAAATATATATGATATATAATATATTACAGGATGGGAATTATAATAATCAATATAAACATGTTTGTTTGGTTCACATGACCATAGTCGACTGGCAATGAAGGTCGAAAAGATCGTAATATGGTGACAAAGGTCGTAAGGATCGTAGTCGATGGGCGTTGGAAGTCAGAAATATCGTAGTATGGTGACAGATTCAGGAGGATTGTTATCTGGCGACGGAGGTTAGAAGGATCGTAGTCGATGACTGATAGAGTTCGAAAGGACTGTTGTCTGACAATAGAGGTTGGAAGGGTCGTAGTTGACAAGCGTTGGAGGTCAAAAAGATCGTAGTATGGCGATAGAAGTCAAGAGGACGATTATCTTACGATGGAGGTCAAAAGGATCTTAGTCGACGAGAGATAGAGGTTAGAAGGATCGTTGTCTAGCAATATAGGTTGGAAGGATCGTAGTCGACGAGCGTTGGAGGTCGAAAAGACCATAGTATGGTGACAGAGGTTAGGAGGACTTTAGTCACAATATAGGTCGAAAGGATCGTAGTCGATAGACGTTGAGGACGGAAAGACCGTAGTATGGTGATAGAGGTCAGGAGGACTATTATCGATGGGCGATGAAGGTCAAAGACCATAGTCAGCATGTGACAGAGGTCGGAAAGACCATAATCTGGTGACGGAGGTCGGAAGGACTGTATGTGGCTGGGTGTAAGTCTGGCAGAAGTCCGGGCGTCAGATGGTTGACTGGAAGAAGTCCAACGTCATGTTGTGGTTCGGCAGAAGTCCGACGTTAGTCGGTGGTCTGGTATGTAGAAGTCTGATATCATGTGGTGAGCTGACAGAAGTCTGGGCGTTAGGTGGTGGTCCGGCAGAAGTCCGGCGTCAGGTGATGGTCCGACATAAGTCTGGCGTCAGGTGGTGGCCCAACATAATTTCAGGCGTCATGCGATGGTCCGGCAAAGGTCTAGCGTCAGTCGGTGGTTCGATAGAAGTTCAGATGGTGGTCGAGGAGTAGCTAAGAGAAATCTCCGAGCTCTCTCTTGCTTCTTTGCTTCAGCCCCCTTCTATGAAAAGTGAGGGGTCTATTTATAAATTTCTGAGAGTGGCATGTATGACCAGTAAATAGGAGGAAAATCAAGGGAAAATTGGTAGTGGTTTGAATGGATATCCGCTGATGATTCCTTTGATTGCGGACCGTTAATTACCAAACATTTGAATGTCTTAGCGATATGGGAATTCATAGATCCTGGGCATGTTGGATTCGTCTCGTTGAGCTGCTCAATTCGGCTATAAGCATGTCACATTTTGAAACTGTTTGGTAATCCAATTTGTGGTTTAAACCTTCCAACAACGCTTTGGGTATTTGATTTGGAATTTGGTGTTATTGGGTTCATATTTTCGCGATGTTCAGTTCAACTGTTAGTTTGCTGAAAATTGGAGTTCAGATGATCCTGAATTTAATTTTTAAAGTTTTCCACTTGATTTTGCCTCGAGGTTTGTGCCCGATCAAAATATTCATAAAATTGTTTTAAGATGGATCTGAATATTGTTTAATCTACTTTAAGATTAGTATGACAAATTTAGTAATTTTTAAACTCATTTTAATATAATTTGTTTCAGGATATTCATATATAATTTCTCTTTGCTTGGTTTGGAGATTTAATAAAAGTTTCTTTTTTGTTGAAAATATATATATATATAATTTCTCTTTAAGAAAAATTATTAAGGCTTCTTTTTTTGGGGTGAACAACTAATTAAGATTTTGTTTAGGATGATTTTCTTATTGCTTCTTTAAAGCAATTTTTAATACAAAAATTTAATTTTTTATTTGAAAACTTCTTTAAGAATCAATAAGAAAGTCATCTCAAATGAAGCCTAAAGTATAAAGAACACATTTATTTATCTGATGCAATTTAAATTTAAAATACAAATATTTAGAAGCATAATATTTCTCATTAAAAGATAAAATAAAGCTTGCGCTTTGAAGCAGTGAACTCATCAATCAAACCGACAAATCAAGCTTATTGTGGGGGCATTGAAAAGATCTTACCTCTTTGCTTCATTGTGCCTTTAACTCATTTCCTAGGCTTTATAACCACCCTAGCTTTCACTCTCTAAACATCCTTGAAATAAGTCACCACTGCTTTTATTATCATTCCCTTCCATTCCTATCAAAGCCCTCCACTTTTGATGGTTTGCTCATTTTGTTGCAATACACAAATCACTACGTAAGCATCATCCTCATTAATATGAAATCTCTTACTTAACATCAATTCTCTCTCTTATAATTCATCTTGATCTGTTGCTTCAGAGCTCTAACTATCAACAAAGATATCTTAGATTCAAAGATCCAATAAAAAAACCTCCCTCCACTTTTGATGGTTTGCTCATTTTGTTGCAATACACAAATCACTACGTAAGCATCATCCTCATTAATATGAAATCTCTTACTTAACATCAATTCTCTCTCTTATAATTCATCTTGATCTGTTGCTTCAGAGCTCTAACTATCAACAAAGAGATCTTCGATTCAAAGATCGCAAAAAAAACCTATCAATTCTCTCTCTCTCTCTCTCTCTTATAATTCATCTAGATTTTTTTAATCTTTATTATAAAGGTTTTTAAGCAATTGTTCCCCCCTAAAAGTTTTAAAATACTACATATGATCTTTAGGCAACTGCCCCCAACATAATCAAACACATTGTGTAGAGGTGTTATTGTTAGGGAACGCCGAATCCCGTCAGGAGAGCTGCTCTCTTGGACCCCAACATATTTGCAAAATCTCGATATTTTTTTACTTATTAGTTTGCCCCCCTTGTATCAGCCAAGAGATTTTGAATTAAAAACTTAAATATATGATATCAATTGGCTCAAAAGTCTCATAAAAAAATAAAAATAAAGAAGAAAAGAAAAGGGAACAGTCATTTCCCTCTCTCATCCATATCACTTTGGGGATTGAGTCTCATACTCTCTTTGACTTTATATTCATATCATATATTTTGTATTTATCAAATCTGCAACCTGCCTCTCTGTCTTTCCTATCCTGCAGCAGCAATTATCATTCCTTCTACATAATTAGAATAAAAGCACACCCACTATAAATCAACAGAAACCAGTTCCTGTAATCTCTCTCTCTGGTCGCTTTTGGCAACAGTCAGGCAAAGAGATTAGGAGTTATGAGGATTGTACTCATTTCACTGTTTTAAAATCCTTTCTATATCTGTATAAGATTCATCATAGAGTCTTTCAATTCCATATTTGTATAAAATTCATGAAATCATAGCAATTTTTTAAAATTTATAAATAAAGATAATAATTTTACTATTTTTTTAAAATATGAATAGGGTGATACTGAGAGATTATTCTGTGCGGTGTCCGAACGTGTCCCGATTGGCCTCCGGACACGGTACATCATCCAATGCACTGTGCATTGGATGCTATGACGTGTCTGGATTGGTCTCCGAATGCGTCCGGAAACCGCACGTAATAATTTTTCCGTGAAACTAGGTAGTTTCTCAAAATTTGACTTATAAGCCTTGTTTTTTTTTTTAATCTTTTATTTATGTTAGAATTTGTTATAAAATTTTGGTTGCACACTTGAATTATTGGCTATTTTTATATTAAGACAACAGAACTTTCATAATAAATTTATTATACAATAGTTTCAACAAAATCAAGTATTATTATATATAATTTTTTTTTTCTGGAAGTAAAATGAAATCTTAGTATACAAAGTACTTAATATTCTGTTGTAATAGCAGAATTGCAAGGCATATTAGAAATTCAAGAAACCCAAAGATATGCCAAGGTATTTAAAAACCGAGCATATATTCTAAGATCGATTCTTCAGGGCAAAATTTTAAAATTATAGTCGCTTTTACAAAAGAGATCAAGCAATATAAAATTTTATGGGAGATAACCCTTATTATAAAAAAGTTAACAATTATTCTTTCTATAAATTTCAAATTATTGGGGTTTTTATAGAAATAACCCATTCTTCTTTCAAGCATTTCTTTCTGGCCCCTCATGACTGCGCTTTGAGAGCAAGTGGAAAAAGCTAGGTGTTTGTTCACTCTATCAGCCACCTGCTACTCTGCATGCAGTAAAATGACAGAACTGACTTGATTTTTTCCCCTTCCTATCCCATCTCTTTAGTCCTCAAGAGTCGATAGCACAGAAGAGGCCAGAATTATACTCCTATTTTTCCCTTTTCATCTCCATCATTGTTGCGCGAGAAAAGAAGAAGACGAAGAAGTAGTAGAGAGAAACAAAGCCAAAAATTCTCCTTATGTTTCCATCAGCGACCATCTCCAACTCCACATCCATATCAGAGGACGCAAGTGTTTCCACTGAAACCAAAGCCCATGATCACTTCAATAACCTTAGCCAGCTCTTCACACCCACATCTCCTCACCCGAAACCGAAGACTAAGAGAAGCCAAGCGGGAAATCCAGGTAATGAATAAGAGCTTTTAAATGATGGCATGTTACAGTATGTAACTTTTTCTATTCTTGAATTGTTCTTCATCTTTTCATAAGAAGACCCCGAAGCAGAAGTGGTGGCTCTCTCTCCTAAAAGCCTTCTAGCCACCAACAGATTTGTGTGCGAGATATGCGGCAAAGGATTTCAGAGAGATCAGAATCTGCAGCTTCATAGGAGAGGGCACAACTTGCCATGGAGGTTGAGGCAGAGGAATAATGGAAAGGAGGCTGTGAAGAAGAGAGTCTATGTTTGTCCTGAGGCTTCCTGTGTTCATCATCACCCTTCCAGAGCTCTCGGAGATCTTACAGGGATAAAGAAGCATTTTTGCAGGAAACATGGTGAGAAGAAGTGGAAGTGTGAAAAGTGCTCAAAGAAATATGCTGTTTACTCTGATTGGAAGGCTCATGTCAAGACTTGTGGAACCAGGGAGTATAGATGTGATTGTGGAACACTCTTCTCTAGGTTTGCTCATCAATTAGTATTTTTTTTTAATCTCTTCTAGTTCATCTTCTAGAATTAATACTGACAGTGTTTAATTAAGCTTCTTTTAGGGTTTGCATGGAAGCTGATTCAAATGTTCCAGTCCAGTATGGCTAGTTTTGCATGTCAAAGCTTTCATCTTTTCTTTCGTTCTTTTTTTTTTTTAAATAACTTGAAGCAAAAGTGACAGGCTAAAATTCTAATTAAGGGACAATTACTTAACCAAGATATCGGTAGCCCAGGGTAGGCCCCTAAAATTCTAAGCGCGAGTTGTCAAGTGAACATGACACCAATAAATCAATTCAAATCTCAGATGATAAGATCATTCAAATGTTCAATGAGAAACTTGTACTTGTCTTTATTTTCCAAGCTGTAGGGTTCTAAAAAAAATTCATTTGAGTGGAAGCATTAGTTTATTTTTATAGAATACATGCAACGTTAACATCAAAACCTGTATCATGCAAGAATTACAGGTTGTACTGTTCATTCAATCTGTGTCAGGCCTGCAGCTACGTCTTTAATACTTCGATGTAATTCATTAACTCTTCACTGCTATTTGTTCTGAATGCATTGTTCAATTCTTTAAATTTGCGGTTGCCTTTGTTTTTTTTTTTTTTTTGGTTTCATATGCTTTATACAAGTAGAGAGAGCCGTCTTAGATAGTTTGATCACATTAAACGAAGGCCTTCTCATGACCCGGTTAGAAAATTTGAGGTATTAGATTTGATTTATGTTAAGAAAGGTAGAGACATATATCTAAAAAGACTCGGTTAGAAAAGATTAAAATGATCTTTCTTTGTTAGATTTAAACGAGAATTTGATTTTTAACAGGACACTTACTAGGACAAAAGTTTGATGTTGTTGTATGCTTTATACAAATAATCTTGTTCTTGTGAAGAAAAGCTTTTCGCCACCCAGCTACTTTGCATCTAAACTTCCATTTCCTAATAACTCGATCTGAATTTGTTTTATAAATATTGCTTGATGATTAATTAGCACAATCAGTTGTTTTGCAGCTTTTTGAAAAGGAAGAATTTAGGATTAGAATACTTTCTATTTGTAAGATTGATTTTAACTTTCAGTGATATCTATTTGTCGTATAACTTTCATGGCTGATGCTTTGAGATCTCCATTAATACTTCGAGACCCACTGTTGAGTTAGATGACAAAGCCATGATGTTGAGAACTTGAAATTAATGAAACTTGTCTTTAACCTAAATGATAGGACTGACATATGGTCATAGCTACAGTATACGGACATTTGAAAATATATGTGTCAGCATGCAAATGATTGTGACCAAGAGAACCTGACAATGGCTTAATTTTTATCTCAGAAGAAGACAGATATGCCTCTGCATGACTAGTCAGATTGCTGTGCTAGTTACCTATTAGTACTTGCCTGTTTGGTCTGTTTAAAAAAATAATTGGAGGAGAAAATATATGTTAAAATAATTATTAATCGATAAAACTAAATAAGATATATTTGGCTATCTCCTTTGCTTATGAAATTTCAGTGCTTCAAGATTAGTTGTTTCGCATGCTAGTCTTCTAAAAATTAAATTTACTTTAATCAAGTAGGAGTAAAAAATTAGAAAAATTCACGAAATAGAATGGTTTCTCTCACTTTCTCATGTAATATCTACATGTCTGAATCATAATGGATAGACAAAGATGAAAGAGCCCAAACAAGCCATCTACCTTTGGGCCCTCCCTCTTACAAAAACTGTGTCTATTGAGTCTTCTTTGCATTTATAGTCAGGACCGCAATCTCCATTTATAGTTTCCTTCAGCTCACCTTTTTACTTTCTTCTACTGCAAATAAGCTCCTTTACATTAATACCATCAATGAAATTCATTTAATATTCTTACCAAACCCTCTTTTAACAAGAAAAATTATTAAAAAAAAAAAAACAAGAAAAATTATTCTGTGCCGACGCCGAATACAGCTCTATATTTGACAACTCTACATCTGGAGACCAACCAGAATGAGCTACGTCAACAATAATGAGCGCGGTGTACCGCGCCACGATACCGATGTGGTTCATTCTGATTTGTCTTCAGATGACATTCGGCATCCACCCAGAATAATTTATCCTTTTAACAACATTGCATTGTGAGTTGTGCTTCAACTCAACCACCAAAGAATTTAACACTAAGGCAACACAAAATGTAGAGAAACATTGCTCATACTTCATATGAAGCACTTTTTTTTTATACTTCATTATGAAGTGGAGCTTTGCTTTATTTCTAATGGATAGAACAATGGTTAAAGCCTTGGCACACTCATAAATTAATTACAGTTCAATAAATTATCTTCATGTGCTTGCTGCATAAAAAGATGATGGGTCGCCATCAGGTTTTTCTTTCTTTTTTTTTTTAATTATTATGAAGAAGTGCTGTTGTTGTTTAAAATTGAAACGAAGATTACTGATGAAAAACCTGGTTTGATCTTAGAAAAAACTCCCTCGCAGCCATGCAGCCAAGTTTTTTTTATTCTTCTTATACATATTCTTCAGAAGCGAAGTCAAAACAAAAGAGAGAAGTATTAACTAGTTAGAAAGGCTCTTGAAGCTCTATATAGATTGTGTTGGAAGAGAAATGTTTACACCTACAAAATCAAGACATGTTCAGCAAATTTGCTCATTTTATAGATCCAAATTTCGTAACACATTAACTCCACAATTCAGCAAAGTTCTTAAATTTCTTACATGCAGACCCAAACCATATAAGCGAGTTAGGCTCTTTAAAAAATTGTCGTTTCTGATCATCGAATTGTATAATAGAAATGCTAAAAAAATTCAATTTTTGCATGCAGGAAGGACAGCTTCATCACTCACAGAGCCTTCTGTGATGCCCTTGCAGAAGAAAGTGCGAGGCTGATCGCAAATTCCGATCCAGCAACCATTAATAATACCCTCTCCCATCCTCTCCTCCACAACCCTCTCTTCCCTTCCTTCGCCAACAGCTGGAATCCATCTTACAACTCAAACCCTAATTTTGTTGCTTTTCTTCCTATGCCCAACCCTAACCCTAACCCTAACCCTAACCCCACAACATCCTCCTTTGAACTAAACCCCGGCGACTCATTTCAACCCTTTGTCAACCCTTACTTTTCCGCTCACCACCTTCACCCCTCCGCAGCCGCCGCCACCCAGCCGCCTTTGTCAGCCACGGCCCTCCTTCAGAGAGCCTCGAACATTGGACACATGAGGCTTACCGATGGCGGAGTTGACTACGACGCAAGAGCTTTTTCAGCGAGCCAAAGCGCTGATCGGCTCACCCACGATTTCCTCGGAGTTGACTCCAGCGACGTAGCGGTCGAGGAATTCCTGCCCCTGCCCGGCATCGGCATGGATGTGGTTACCACCGGTCCCTGCGTTGATAATGGCGGAGACGGTGACCACACGAAGCCCATCGTCGGCTTCTCCTTTCCACGTGTCACCGGAGCTTGGCGTGACCACAGAGGCGTTCGTGATTAAGGTCCGTGGACTTCGCCTGGAATTACGATAATGCCACCTTGTTGTTTTGTCCTTACGGGGAGAGGTTGCCTGTATTTGATCTCGAATTATTGCGTCCGGTCACCTGATGTCCGGACAATCAATCCAGATATGTCACGTCACTCAAATATATAGGATTCCGATGTATTTTGGTTACGTGACGGGTCTGAATTGATGTTCGGACGAATCTGAACACCGGATATAATAATTTGTCATATTTTGTTACGGTTGCCATGTTTTTTACTTTCGCATAGGCCGTAAACGAAAGAATCGAATGGGAAATATTTGGGCGAGTAGTCTTATCCAAGTAAATTTTGGAACGAATGGATTTTCTGATGTGTGTTATAAATGAACAATCAATTAAAATTCATTTTAAATATATTTTAAATTTAACTTAATAATTAATGATTTATCTTAATTAAATATTGGTTATAAAATAAGAGCCAATTTCTTTCTGAGTAAACATAGTACATTTTTTAAAGTTCTTTTATTTGTTTTTTTATTAAGTAAATTTGAATATTATCCTAATTTTAAAATATCATTTATTTATTTATTTATTTTTAGTTTAATTTGAATTGGAGTTGAGATTTAGGTTTTGTTTGGGATAGTCTTTTCATAGTTTTCTAAAGCAGATTTTTAGTACAAATTTTTAAATTAAAAAAAAAATTAACTAAAAAATTGTTTTAGAAAGCATTAAGAAAGCTATCTCAAGACTTTGTCTGATATGGCGTTCTTACTACTGCTTCAAGCAATTTTTTAATACTTTTTGAAGAAGTAATAAGAAAGCCATATCAAACAAAACATTTTTTAATGTTGTCCCAAAAGAAGCCTTAAGCTTCATTTTATACATCTTTGTTATAGTTTTTTAAATCAATTTTTTTTATATCAAAATTTCTTGCATATTTTATATTAAAAAAAAATTGTACTAAAAAATTATTTTAAAAGAAATAAGAAAAGATATCCCAAACTAAATCTTAATTGAGCCTAACTCCCTATGTAATAATAATAATAGTAATAGTAATGAATGTCACTTTTTTAATTAGTTATGATGCTTTAAATTCAGTATTATTTGTAATTTTTTATTGATAACAAATTTTTTTTAGTTTATCCATCTAGTATTTGTTTTATATTTAATTATAAAAAATTAATTAAAATAACTTAAAATTTTAGTCTACCCATTTGAATATTTGCTTAAATAGATTCTGTAATTATGAAATATAACAAAATTAAAAAATAATATCAAGTGCAAATTCAAATTTTGAATACTGGCCTTTGAAAATTTTTATCATAATTTCTCATTTAGAGTTTTATTATACTCATAAATCTCTATGAAACCAATATTCCCATGAACCATTGCTCTTATATTAAAAAATAATTTTTACAAAAAAATTAATTCGATTAATATTTAAAAATCAATTTTCTTATCATTTTGTTTTTTTTATTATATTTTTTGGTTGAATTTGGATGACAATAAATTCACATTCAAATATTTTTGAAAAATATATAACAAAAACATCTTAATTATAGCTATGCAATTCATATATATATGCTCCATTCATTATGTAGAAATTAATAAATAATCTTATAAAAAAATCAAATTATTTTATCACTTTCATACTTATAACCGAATTTTCATATTTGACCTTGAATTTTTAAATATGAATAATCTAATAAATTATATGATAATAAAATCTTAATTGTTTTTTTTTATATATTTTTATAATAGGAAAGTACTTTACCTATCACTATTAATTAGACCATTTAATTAAAATTTAAATATTTTTTTAATTTTCTTTGCTTGTAATCTATGAAGACATGTAAAATTCAAACGAGCTAGCCTAAACCTAAAATAAAAGATTTCAAATTTGACTCCAATAAAATTTTTTTATTAATCAAAATTATTATGTATATAACAATCAACACAATTATTTATATAAGTATAAAATCATATTTATTAATCATAAATAGATAATGTATATATCTTAGATTACATCTCACTAATTGTTAATATATTTAAATAAAATTCTTACATCTTCTATTGTGCATGTGTCATTATTAACAATATCAATTATTAATAATACATTAATAATATCACACTCAAAAAAATAAAAACATATATGCTAGTAATTCAACTTCAATTTTCATTTTTAAATTTAGAAAAGAAAAAAATATGAAAATTTCAAAATTATTATTAATTTCACATTTTTCTTATTTCATTAATTTTTTAAATCTTATTAACGTGCATTTATAGCTACAATTAGCTATTACAGTTGATTTACATTATGCATAATTTTTTTAATTACAAATTAATACTAATTAAATAATATTTTTGATACTTTTTCCTAGATGTTTAGATGAAAAAAGATTCCTAGCATGATATAATCAACCCTTAAACTTATGTATTATCGTTCTTCATAAGCATAATGGTACTTGATTTAAGAGTTGTTAGGGGGAATTTTTTTTCACCAATGAGATTAGTATCATTTTAAGCTTCGTTTGTGACAGTATTTTTACTATTTTATAAAACAACTTTTTAGCATAAAATTTTTTTGAACTTAAATATTTTATACTAAAGAACGGCTTTAAAAAACTTTTCACAAACAAAACCATAATTATTACCAATGCTTTGAGGGCAAGGGGCTGAAATTGCGTTTTAATAAGTATTAGAAGAAACACAGTAAAATTAATCATGAGAGAATTTTTTGTGAGAAAATCTGATTCAAAATTACTTAGTATAAATATTATAATCATTAAATTTATTTTGAGGTAAATATAATAAAAATATTAAATAATTAATCATATATTATATTCATCTTAAAGTACAATTAATAGTTACAAAATTCATATAATTAAAATATTCTAATCCCAAATATTTCATTAATTATAATTTTAAATGATCTTATCTTGAAAAGAAAATTAATTGCTGAAGAAAATTGGGATCATTGGAGTAATCATTTAAGCAATTGATGTCAATATATATATATATATAACTTTAGAAAATAATGCATGTTGCATTACATGCTTTATTAAAGTTAAAATTTATGAGACTTGCTTAGATATTTTATGCTAAAGGCATGGACAATCCATCACAACTTTTATGACTAAAGCCATCAGATTTCGTCTAGAGTTAAGAGCAAGTGAAAGTGATAATTCTCATGATGTGCATGTGTTTTAGTTGGATTGTTACATGAGTAAGCAAGCTAGTATGACAAATTACACACCACATACATTCATAAAAACTTTAGCTATGATTCCCTGTAATATTAATATTATCAAGTCTTTATCTTACTATATAGGATTGTCTACATAAATCATTCTTCTTCGTTGTGTTCAAATTAATGACATAATTATTCAACAAATTTTACATTGGCTGTTAACACGAGCAGCAAAATCAGCCTTAATTTTCAGCCTTGGGGGGGGGACTTTACGGTAAAAGTGTAGAGATTTCACAGATATGTCGGGGGTCCAAGTGGGCAACGCCCCATTCTGAGGGTCGACCTAAGGCAACGCCCCCGGAATAAATTTTGATTGTAAAGATATTTTTGGACTCTCTTTGCTATTTTTCTTTGTATTTGGTTCATTGTTCCCTAACAATAACACATATACACAATTTGTTTAATTATGCTGAGTGTAATTGCCTAAAGACTAGTATTTAAAAATTTTTAGAGGGAGGAGGGGGTGGGGGGGCAATTGCCTAAAGACCCTTATAATATAGACTAAAAAATTGATAAAGAGTGACAAATTATCTAAAAAAATCATATAATACATTTTTTAAAAAAATTTCAGGGGGACAATTGCCCCCCATGGACTTTAGGTAGATCCGCCCCTGGCCGTTGATCATTTAAAGTAATTTTTTTATTTTCCTCATCCATGACTCAGGACCTGACAATGATAATATTGATTCTCTATTTAACAAATTGAAAAAGAAACAACAAGTTTTGCTCTGGTAATAAAAGTTGAAATAAAGAACCACATATAATTTACATGAAAAGAGATGTGATATTCAGTCAAATGTAGTTCAAATGATACTACTTCAAATTTCTACACTATTGTTTTTCATCATCAGTTTTAAGGTATTATTTAAAGGAAACATGAACATAAAGGCTTCAACTCCAAGATAAAATTTGGGTAACCATATCACACCATACACAATTTGAAGGTAAAATATGCCTTGATGTTCTAACATCAACAATTGCAAAGAATATAAAACATCACAGAAGAGCAAAAACTAGTTCAGAAAGTTCCTGTGGCAATCACATCGGATTGCTGGAGGCTTGTAAAAGAGTAAATGTTCTGATTGATTTTGACACAGTAGATCTTGTAAGACGAAAAAGGATGGGGAATCTCAGCCTTTTTTTTATCCCTTTATCACTCTTATTATTGAGAGTGTAAAATTTGCTTAATATATATGAGAATCCCATGATCAGGTGGAGGAATCCATGTGTGCATCTGACAGCTTGTTTGAACAGTGAAGCTAACTGTACTTGTGAATATTCACTCCCAGGATTAGTCTAAATGCAGAAGAGAGAGAAGGCTTCAACTAAAGAGATGAGGAGCGATTATTCTATGCAGACATCGGATGGGAAAACCGTCAGGTTCCGCGCTCGATACCAAGTGCGGTACATTTTTGGGATACAACAACAACAACACAACAACAACAACAACAACATCAAGCCTTTATCCCACTACGTGGGGTCGGCTACATGAATCCTTTTTCTCCATTGTGTCCTATTAAAAAATATTTTTGAGATGACGTGACATATTTTTATTGATCTCTGGACAAATCCGGACCCTCACGTAATAATTTTTCAGAGGCGAGGGTGTTGCATGGGGTACCCTTGGTTGGCTTTCATAAAGTAGAGGAGAGCTGCAGCGTTTGGAGTACAATACCTACTATTTGCCTGCTAAGAAAGACTAGTCTGACTTCCTTTTCCTTTCTTCTTTATTCCCTTTCCTTTCACAATCAGACAAAGCCAAAAGCAGTACACTCCTCTCTCTTGGGACTCCAACTCTGAATCTCCTCCTTTCTCCCAAATCCCAAGCTTTAACTGTTGAACGTGCCACATGAGCCAACTCATTTATTAAATGGGTCTCTAATCCAATAGGTTAATGACAAGTGGAATTCTACATTAGAAATTTCAATTTTGGAGTATTTTCATGCATATTTAACACTAAAATGTTTATGTTTGGTTATATAATACTCAAATCACATCCAAATATATGCCTGCACTCTAAAGAAATGAATGTTTATGTGTGGTAGAGATTTAGATGTTACGCAAATAAAAGTAAAAAAATTAAGTATTAGAT